TTCAACACGTGGACGATTTGCTCTTATATTCAGAAACTAAGTTGGACTCTCAGAAGGACACAATTTATCTGTTGCAACAGTTAGCATCTAAAAGGCACAAAGTATCCAAGGACAAACTACAATTTTGCCTGCCTATTGGAAAACATCTAGGGCTCTTAATATCTAAAGATGGACTGTTGATTGACTCTGAAAGGATTAAAGGAATCTTGGCTTTTTCTCTCCCTAAAACGAAGAAACAGTTAAGGACTAACTGGATATTGCAGGAACTCGGTACCTACCTTTCCACTTATTGCCCAGCCTTTATATACATTACTAAAGTCTGACCAGCCTGATTTAATTGAATGGATGCCAGAAGGAGAAAAGGCAGTAACTACCTTACAGTCTATTTTGGCTGGAGCACCCGCCTTAGGGCATCCTAATTACAGCTTGTCATTTTTCCTCTTCATACATGAAGATAAAGGAACTGCCCTAGGTATCTTAACTCAAAAACACAGAGATCAACACTGATCTATCAGGTATTATAGTCAGCCGCTGGACTCAGTGGCAAAAGGGCTCCCGTCTTATTCGAGGGCCATTTCAGCAGCAGCTCTCTTATGCAAGATCACTGAAGAAAGAGTGATGGGGTCTCCTTTAACTATCTATGTTCCTCACTCAGTCAAATCTCTCCCAAATTCTCCTGTGAAGTTCCCTTGCTCTCTGCTCCTCATATCACCTTAGCCCAATGTAATAATCTTAATTAACCCTGCGACTTTACTTCCAGCATCACAGGAGGAGGATGCCCACGACTGCATTTTATTAACTGATTACTTACTCCTAGGAAGGATTTGCAAGAAACTCCCATTGATAATGCTGATCTAATTTGGTTTACAGATGGGTCTTACTTAAGGAATGAACAAGGATGGCATCAGGCTGGATATGCAGTAACATCCTCAGTGGACATAAGTGAGAGTTATTATTTACCAGAAATAAAATCAGCACAACAACCCGAGTTAATTGCTTTAACTTGAGCTTGTCAATTCGCCAGAGACCAGGTAGCAAATATCTACACTGACAGCCGTTATGCTTTTGGAGTAGAACATGACTTTGGAATGCTGTGGAAACAACGAGGGTTTTTAACCTCTTGAGGTCAGCCTATAAAGAATGGGAAGCAGATTGCAGAATTATTAAATTCTATACAACTACTGAGACAACCAGTGATTATTAAAATACCAGGGCATTCCAAATCTAATACTTTAGAAGCTAAAGGAAACTGGCTTGTTGATGCCACTGCTAACAAGCAGCCTTGAAGTCTCGCCCCACCCAGCCTCAAGAATGCCTGCTGCTTCCTATTAAACCTGCTAGCCCAGTCAAAGATTTCCTTCTACAGGCTCAGGAAATCGCCACAGAAGAAGAGAAGCAGATATGGCAGTCAAAAGGGGGAATTTTTGACACCCCCTCCACAGATGTGGTTCGGGCCCAATAGGAAACCCATAGTACCTATTGGAGCACAATTGCCACTGCTCCAGCATATGCATCAATTGACCCACTGGGCACCTGAAAAGATGATTTTATGAGGAAAACAATACTTCTGGAAACTTTCTCCCACGGGGGCCCATAAAGCCTAGACTCATGTTATACACCCAAAGTACAATCCAGGGAAACCACTTCATGGGTCACAAGGCCACTTCCCCCTCCCTAAGGGACCTTTTGAGGTATGGCAACTGGACTTTGTCCAAATGCCACCATCTCAAGGGTATAAATACGTCTTGGTAATGAGCCGTATGTTCTCACAGTGGATTGAGGCTTTCCTTGCAGAAGAGCAAAGGCTTTAACAGTAGGTAAATTGCTATTAGAAAGAATAATTCCTGTTTGGGGAATTCTTACCAAGTTACACAGTGACCGGGGAACTCATTTCACTGGAAAAATAACTAAATCTATTTGTAATATTTGGCCAATAATGTAGCATTTCCACTGTGCTTACCATGCCCAATCCTCAGGATTGGTGGAAAGAACTAACAGCACAATCAAAACTCAACTGGCAAAGCTTTCAGAAGCATTTAATCTCTCGTGACCAAACGCTCTTCTGCTAGTGCCCCTCAGTCTCAGCTCTACACCCTTTGGTAAACATCGGCTGTCTCCTTTCGAGATAATAACTGGACGGCCAATGCAATGAGACAAAGGAACGTATGAACCAACTTTACTTAAAGGAGACATTTTACATTATTGTCAAGGCCTCATCGAGGCACTCAAGAAAAATGTGAGGTTGGTAGCTGATTCTTTTCACAGTGAGTTCCCGGGAGATGAAGACCTTAAGGATCATGGATTACAACCTGGAGATTTTGTTTATTGGAAAAGACACCAGATAAAGGACTCTTTGCAGCCCCGTTGGAAAAGACCATATCAGGTGCTTTTAATCAACCCATGTGCTGCAAAATTAAAAGGCGTAGACTCATGGATTCACATTTCTCATTTAAAAAAGGCCTCTCCACCTCAATGGGCTTCAACTCCAGTCTCTGATACCCGACTTCGACTGACCAACACGAGTATCTCCAAACCAGGATGAGAAGAAGACGACATCTGTTGTAGACAGCTGTCTCAAGACGCCGGACTAGGCCTGTATTCCTAACCCTACATTCCCTCATTTAAACCCTTGTAATGTTTAAACTTTATGTAATTGCTAAATAATCAATTTCTAGATTGCCTTACCTTTTCCTATGGCAATAATTTACGCCCCTGACTTTACAAGATAGATTAGAACTTAATTGCAACACCAATTATTAATTAAAAAAAATGCCATTTAGGATTTTCCTAATACTATGCTTGTTTCTCCAACCCACATCTGAATGGGCCTCTGATGGCAATGTTTTTCTGCAATGGGCACATTCCTTTGCTACACACAAAAATCAGTCCAATTGTTGGACATGTGGCCAACTTCCACTTTCTGGCAGCTCAGGGTTGCCTTGGTGGGTCTCCCCCTTTCAAGGCATAGATTGGAAGCTCTAAAGCAATTTATTACGATGGAAAGATCTAGCTCCAATGTTTGCAGTTCGTCTGATATTATTAATTATGATCCTGAAACACGGCCAATAGCCCATATTATTAATGATACAGGGCATGGCTATTCTTTTTCTGTTACTCAAACCATCCCGTTATCCTGACAAATTGCAGATGAACAAAAGAAACCAGACATTACAGTAAGAACTATGAAAGGTTTCACATAAATTTGAGATGGATATGTTTGGCTCACTCCTAGCCATGGATCTTTAAAGATACCAGCACCTTTATGTTGGGAGCAGAGAAATCATTCCAAACAAAATTTACCAAATTACACTTGAAAGACGGGCTGGATACCCACCGAGTCATGTCAGAATACGACTGTTCTTAAAGAAAGTGATTGGTTTGGAACAGACTGGTCTTAAAGACCAGGCATTTACTGGGTGGCTCCTAATGGAACTCAGTGGTTATGTGGAACAAACCTCTGGCCTTGGCTACTGCCTGGATGGTTAGGGCACTGCGCTCTGGGCTTCCCCTGGATACAGGGAAGGATTCGCCCTGAGCTAACATCTGTTGCCAATCTCCCTCTTCTCAAGGCTAGATGGGCTCGTTCAGTGTTCTACTGGTATGATCACCTAGCAGCTATATTTGTTCCCTCTTTGGGGCTATAAGATGTCATATGACACATAGAGGCTCTGACTAAATTTACTCAATAAGCTCTTAACAATAGTCAAGCAGGGATAGCTCTATTAAATACTGAAATGACTTTAATGAGAAAGGCCGTCCTTCAAAACAGAATGGCCTTAGATATTGTTACAGCATCCCAAGATGGCACATATGCAATCATTCAAATTGAGTGCAGTGTTTTATAGCTGATGAATCTTCCAATGTGTCATCTCTGTTAAAGCACATGAAAAAACAGGTAAATGCCTTGAGTGATCCTATACCCAGTTTAGATTTGTTTGGTTGGCTCCCTTTCAGTACCAGTTCCCTTTTTCAATCTGGATTGCAATTCATATTTCTGTTACTTCTTGGAATTCTTGTACTCATGATAATATTCAAACTAATGTTGTTTTCTTTACTCGTTTTTGTAAGACTGGCATGCAAACCAGAGTAATGTTTGCTTGGCCACTTGAGATGGTTGATCGATCTTACGGCCCTGGGCGAATCTCCTTTTCCTATTAAGGCTACATCTAAGAATTCATTTTTGAGCTAATCATTTCAAATATTGGATTACCTGTTCTATAATTGGTATAAACAGTGTAACTGTAGGAAGTCATGTAAAAGCACACGTGCAATCTCTGTGTGATAATCTAAAAATAATCAACATTACATAACCTATGAAAGAGTTCCCTTGTTAATATATACCTCCATGCTCATCCACTATAGCTATCTCCCCCCAACGTGGATGACTGGGCAAATCAACAAAATAAAAGCCTAGCACCAAGGGATATGATGGACCGAGGGCAGGCAACAACCACTCTGGCATTGAGGGACATATTTTGATCAGCAATGCTTTCTCTTAAAAGATTATTGATCAAAAGGGGAAAATGACAAGAGATTTTCACATATTGAGGTATATAGGGTAACTATTCAAGTTCAAAACTGATTGGCTTGAACTAGAAAGCCTGACTTACGGCCTATCAAACATACATTGTACATGTGCATATCCACTAAAGTAAGGAATGCACTCTCTTAAGATAAAGAACGCATACTTCCCCTCCTACACCCTATTGGTAATGCCCTATTGGCAATGCCCGGATTAGCCCCTTTCCTGGCATCATGGTCATGTTGACCTGTTAATCTGCAGCTGAATACCTGTTTGAAAATGCATCCTGGATGTGTTTAATGTATCTTCTTTGTTCTAAAAAGACATAAGACTGTGGTGAAACCCATGCTTCTCTAGAACGCCTTCTAAGGCCTTCCCAGGTTCTAATCCTCACTCTGGCTCACAATAAACTCACCCCAATTTTGATTTACAGGTTGGTTATGGATTATTTGTGCCAACAGAAGTGATGTCTACTCACTGTTCGGCTACATTTCGGTCGAGAGAATCCGTTTCAGTGGGTGTTTCAGGCAAGGAGGAGCTGGACTCCTGTATCTGACACAACTCCTCATCTGTGATGATGTCAAACACGGCGTCATCTGGTGGCCTGCCGTCTGTGTTTGCACCTGGACCACAGAAGCAGATCAGGAGAGAAGAGAAACAGTTATGCACAGGATGGGGAGGGAGCCTCAGGGAAGTGAGAGAGTGTAGATATGCAGGACAAGCCACCAGGGCACACTTTAAGCACTCACTCAATTGACAGCCATTCTGTTCAGATGTGAGAGAAATGGCTGTTGGGACATTTGAGAAAAGCAAAGGAGGGGACTACAGATGAAACTGAATCCACAACTTAAGAGATTTCTCTTAAGCTCCTTAGGGGATTAGAAAGGTTTCAGCTTTTACATATTCTGAGGCCACTTATTTAGAAAGAAAAAAACCTATCAAAACCTTATCAGGAAAGAACCTAACAAAAAAGTAAACATACTCTGTGCTGCTAAATCCTTGCTCCATCAGACACAGACATTACTTATTCATGCTTCCTTAAAAGCAGGAATCTGCCTGGCCTGCATTTTCCCCCCAAGCCACTGGGGGGTGGGAAAGAACTTCCCTCTGCTCAAAGAGTTGCAGGAACCATTGTGCTTCTGACCAGGGGACTCTTTTCCGACTCTGTGGGCCACTCAGTAGGAAGGATGCTGCATGGATGCTCCTGTGGCAGTCACCCACACACAAGCCTCTCCTGTATATGTCATGGAAAATGTAATGGCAGGTCTGAGGTGAAAGAAAGAAAGAAGGAAAGACAGAAAGAAAGACAAGGAGACACGAAATGTCAGAAATCAAAGCAAGTGACCTCAGCACTCTGGCAGGATGGGGCCACTCTCTGTTGTCACTAGAACACCTGCCAGTGACTGGGGGCATGGGAAAGATTCCTGGGCTATTTAGCAAGAGGAATAGGTCATATGAGCTACAAGTTCCCAGCTAGCCCTGCCACATGGCTACTGAGACAGGCCATGCTTTAGAAGAACATTCTTCCTCTTGTCTGAAGGCTGTATAATGGAGGTTTTGAGGCACAGGCTGAAAAAGGGGACCAGGAATTGGTTTCCCTTCATAGACCCAGCCATACTCCTGAACCTGCCTTCTGAGGCTGGCAGAGGGAAGAGGGAAGGAAAAGGAGGGAAAGGAAAATGAGCAACAGGGATCCAAAATGACGTCCACTGAAAGAAATCAAAGAAGACGTAAATAAATGCAGAGCTATATCAGGTTCAAGGATTGGAAGACTCAATTTTGTTAAGATGTCAATTCTTCCCAAACTGATCTAGAGAGTCAATGCAATCCCCATCAAAACTTCACTAGGATTTTTTGTAGAAATTGACAAACTGATCCTAAAATTTATATGGAAAAGTAGAAGACTTAGAATAGCCAACACTTTGATAAAGAACAAAATTAGAGGACCCATTCTACCTGATTTTAAAGGTCATTACAAAACTATGATAATCACAACAGCGTGGTATTGGTGAAAGAAAGGGCACACAGATAAATGAAACAGAATGGAAAGTCCAGATATGGACCCACATATATAAGGGCAATTGATTTTTGACAAAGGTACAAAGGCAATTCTATGGGAAAAGAATAGACTTTTCAACCAATGGTGTTGGAACAGCTGGACAACCATAAGCAAAAATGAATCTCTATGTATAGCCTGGACCATATACAAAAATTAATTCAAAATGGATTACAGACCTAAATATGCAACTTAAAACTACAAAAATTCTAGGAGAAAATCGGAGAAGATTTTTGAGTCCTTGGGTTAAGCAAAGATAGATACGACACCAAAAGAAAAGAAAAAAATTGATCCCACAACGAAAAAAAATTGATAGACTGGACTTCATCAAAATGATAAACTTCTGCTCTTTGAAAAACATTTCTGCTCTTTGAAAGAAAATGAAAAGACAGGCTATAGATTGGAAGAAAAAATATTTGTAAAACACATATCTGATAAATAACTTGTATCTGGAACACATAAAGGACTCAAAATTCAGTAACTAAAAAAAAAACAATTAAAAAATGGGCAAAATATTTGAGGAAGATTTACTAACACTGTGCATGGTACACTCCCCCATCCCTGAGCTGTTCTTTGTACTCAATGTAAATAATGGGGCCTGCCAACCTCTTCGATGATCCAGTTAAACAAAAGGAGATCTAACAGTATTTCTGAAGGTTGGCTGGCCTGGATCCAGGCAGAGGCCAAGGAGGAGTCCGTAGGGACGAGGTGTAGGAAGCAGTGATGCTTGAGCAAAGATGAGACTCACTTCTGCCCCTGCCTCTCAGCTCTGCCTCCCTGGTACTCTACATCCACAGTCCAGTCCCTGCGAGGGCAGCCTGAGCTGCTCTGCTAGGCTGCACTGGGAGCAGAAGCAGCAGAAACCAAATCCCGCTTCCTTTTACTGAGCTGAGTGAAAGGACATGAAGGGGAACACATCCTCTTTGGCCTGAGGGAGAGTGTGAGCCACAGAGAGAGAGGGAAGGATGTGGTCGTTTCCAGACAACTCCTGGCCTGTGGTTACTCTGGGAGAGGGTTAGATATCGGGGTTGAGGCTCAGGAGACAGCATTTTCCAAGGTGTGGGAGACATTCCACTGGTAGTATGTGAGTTAAGAGGTACAAAGACCTCCTGTTAAATAACACTGAATCATAGCAGGAGAAACTTATTCCCTTTTCAATTCTCTTTCAATCCTAATTACATCAAAATGAAAGTCTCAAATTGGTGATACCACATTTTTAGCATCTCTTTAATGACTAGATTTGGAAAGCTTTGAGTTAAGCTTATTACAGCTAACACAATGGGGTAGCGGTTGAGGGGGTGGCACCTAGAGAACACCAAGGGCAGCAGCAGGAGCCTGACCTTGGCTTTCGGTGGCCTGGGGCCCAGCGTGGGCTGGTGACGGTGTGGGGCTGAGCTCTCCCTGGCTGGTGCCCGAGCTGGCGCTGTCAGGGGAGCCGGGGCCCTCGCTGAACCTCCGGAAGCAGGCTCGGCAGCAGCGCTCCTTCTTGCCGCTGTGCTTCGTGAGGACATAGTTGTTGCAGCAGTAGTAACAGAAGATGCGGCCACAAATCCTGGGGACGAAACAGGCACGGCTAGGAGGATGACGTACTGCGGGTCCTGTGGGATCTGCTCAGGCTGGAACGGGCTCTGTGCTGGGCTCTGGACGCCACACGGCTCTCCTCAGACCTGACTTTGCCCCCACTTTAGTGTGGTTTAAGGCCCATTTGATAAGATGCCAATAATTGGACACGACGATGCAGGTGTGCATTCCACGCCTCAGGGGCTGAGGCTCTGAGAGACCACAGACTCCCCAGGCCTGTGCTGATGATTCTGCATCTCCCCTGGCCCCAGCCCGAGATTCATTTTTGCCTGCCCTTTGCTGGGCCCCAGGAGAGTCTTTGCTCTGTGTTCCTCCCTGAAGCCTTGGCCCCAGCCCTGCTGTTTCCCTCCGGTCCTGCAGGGTGTGGGAGGGCCGGGGGCTGCTGGTCTCTGGGTACTCCACATCCCTGTGGGTCTGCTGAACTCTGCCCACACCCCTGTATTAAACTCTTACCTTTCAGGGATCCCTGAGTGTCCTGCTAGGACCCTGCCTAACACCCTCCTTGCCTGGGCCTCTTACAACCAAAAGGCAACATGCTCTTCCTAGGCAACCAGCCACCGTGCCAATGCCCACATGGATTCCTCACTCAGAGACGACTGCTCTGGTTCTGGACCCTGCCGGGGTTCTGGCGCCGGCCTGCGAGCAGCCCTGACCTGCAGTGGTGCCGCCGCACCATCCAGCTGAACTCCCGCTTGCAGTCGAGGCAGTGGTTCGCCTCTGTGTCCCCGAGACACCTCTCCTCAGCACTGAGCTTCTGCTGGAATTCCAGGGCATCTGACTTCTGCCAGAGGGCGTCCTTGTCCCTGGGACAAAGTCACATTGGTAAAAGAGAAGAAAGAATCTGTGAAAACAATAGAATTATCCCTGATTCATTTCAAAAGATTGATTCCAAATTTCCCAAGACACAGAAGGAGATTTGCTTTACCCCGGAAATACCCCCACTCTCACTGTGCTCTGTCACCCTGCCTCAGTCCCAGACTCAGCAGGACCCTCAAACATGCAGGCCCTTAACTGACATCAAACTTGCGAAGGCGCACAGGAGGCCCACTATGTACATGGAAGGCTCTGGCAACTGCAGAGAGCTTGCCAGCATTGACAAGTGTCACACATTGCTCAGGCGTCTAAACGAGGAGCGTATGGCCACTGAGAGTTTAAGCTGTAACGTGCTGCCATGATTACATGACAGTCTGTATGCTGTGAGCCCAAGGACCACAAATGTTCTACCCACCCAAATCTTAAAGGTGCTCAGGGCCCTTTACGGTTTTATGGTTTGTTCAAGTAACAACTAATCATAATCACTGGAGAAGATCAAAGATTTCCCAGTCTGAAAATCTGATGGGATGTTAATCTCCCCCACTCCTCAGCGAGACAGTACAGCTACTCCAAGAAGCAAGACTAAAAGAGGTGGGAGGCTCTTCAGGAAGGTCCAGCAGTGTCCGAATATGCCTGACGCAGCAGGGAAGATGTGTATAGAGACTTTTGTATTGCTGCTAATGGTCATTTCTAGGGCTTATGGCTTCTGACATGAGAAAATTTAGTTCTTTCCAGGATGAACCCCAGCCACTATCCTGAGGGTTATGTGGCCCCAGAAGCACCTCATCCACTGATGACTAACACCAGAGACATTTAAGTTCTGAGAGAAAGTGCCTCCATCACCAGCCAGGGACTCCAAATCAACCACAGACGATTCCCCTTAAATACAAAAGCCAGAACATGGAATTGATTGGCTTTTCAAGGATGTTTGAAATTGTCAGGAAGCAGGAAGATTTGTTCTCTGGACCAGCATTGTTTTCCCAGCTGGTCCAGCTTGTCCCGTTTGACCCCAGGAGGCCAGGCACCCACACCGTGGGAAGTGGGAATGCTGTCAGGACCTGGGCCTTCCCAGCACATACCTTGGGAGATGTCTGAGCTCAGAGGTCACAAATGCCCTGAGTTCCAAGTGTGCAAACTGATGACAAGTAGGCAGAGTTTTTAAACTTCCAAATTAGTTACAATTGAAAATCACCATTTTGCAACCCCAAATGAATTAGTAGATTTAGGCATTGCTTATCCATGGCTGCCAACATTGCAAAGAAATGGCTAATCAGATCTTACATGGCTCTCGAAGGGAAGACCGAAAACTCTAAACCAATTCTATGAAGTGTTCTTGCCAAAATTTTGAACCTGAGTCTGAATAAGCCTCTAGTAGAGCAGTGGTCCTCAACTCTGGCTCACTGATGTCTGGACGCCACTTCCAGAAATTCCAGTTCAGTTGGTTTGCATGGAGTCTGGACATGGGTATCATTTTAATAGCTCCCTTAGTGATTCTAATGTGCAGCTAGGGTTCAGAACCACTGCTCTAGTTCTAAATATCAATTTATAGGAAATACAAAGGTTGGAAGAACATATTAAATGAAACCATGGTGATGGAATCAGCAAAATCCAGGCCATGGCAAACTGCCAGGTGAATGACCTGGCTTCTTCAAAAGTAAATTGCAAAGAAAAAAGGAAAGTTAGGGAGGTGGTGGGGGAACCCATAGACTAAAGGCGATCTAAGAAACATATCAGCGTGCAATGTATGGATCTAATTTAGGTCCTGATTAGGAAAAATTATAAGGGAATTGGAAAAATTTGAAACTGACTAGATCCTTAATGATATTAGGAATTACGGTTAATTTTTAAGTATGGTATTGATACCTTGGTTGTTTAAAAGGGAGAGTCCTTGTCTTGGAGAGGTATATACTGAAACATTTGAGGATGAAATGATCTGACATCTGGGATTTGCTTCAAAATAATCTGGGGAGGTGGGGGAAATGGGTGGGACTCTGGATGAAACAAGATCGGCCACGAGTTGAAGAACGTTGGTGCCGGGTGACAGGTACACAACGGTGTGTTATGCTATCCTATTTTTCTATGTTTGAAAATTTCCAGAAGAAAAAGTAAAAAAATTTTTTTGAATGACTTGCCAACATTTAAAACTCAGGACAATTTCACATAAAAATCCGGGTTTCCCCTTTCTTTAAGAAATAAGGTGGTCTGACAACTGTATCGGCAACAATCGGCAGGAGTGGAGTGTGCTCTGTCCTCCGGTTCCTGAGTCCCCTCCCGGCCCAGGTCTGACATTTCCGTTAGCTGCCTGCTCGCTGCAGGCCCTGGATTTTGGGACCCTGCTACTAGGGGAAGAGGGACGGAGGAGAAGGAGAAATGCGCTCACGAAAGAGGGGCAAGTGACTGGGGAAACTCCTACAGATACTAAACATCATTTACTGTCACTCTGGGGGCTAAGCATACAGAGATTTTGAAAATAATTACACAGCAATATGAAAACACAAACCTAGATGAGCACTAGTGGGAACACCGAAATCCACACTCGCAAGGCTGCCAAAGCCTGAGCAGACCCTGTATGCGTGGGCCCTTAACAACAGAACATATGCAGACAGGGGCCCATTTCCCTTGAGGGGTTCTTTCAGGAAGAGCTGCATTTCTTTCAAGAAAAATCGAGCTGTTTGTCACCTGTTTGTCCCAACACTCACCTGAGCAGTTCTATCAGCCGTTCCTCCAAGTACTTCTTGGTTCTAGTCAGGTCATCCAGGTCAGCAAGCATCTTCTGGTCATTCTTCTCTCGGTCTGTCACCTCCTGGCAGAGTCTGTTGTAATATTCTTGGATTTCTGTCGTGGCTTTTTCAAGTTCCTTCTGGGTTCTGATGGAGGAGTGGTAAGTTTTCCTGATTATCTACTACTTCCAGCTTCCCTGTGCCTCTGGGCTAACCCAGGCCTCTGATCAGGGGTCCTGCTGCCCTCCCAGCCTTTCCCGGTTCCCAGTGCCCCTCGGCACTCCCCACTTACAGGTGGGGCACTCCCCTAGCCTTTAAGACTCCCCTCATACACCCAAACTCCACACACCACCACCTCCCCACACCAAATTCAAGGGGCATTCCAGGAGAGCAGGTTGACCTCAGGTCTCCAGGAACACCGCAAGGTGAGTCGAATCTGCACACTTGGTTCTTGGGCACGGACTGAAGCCATGAGAGGAGCCCAACGGGTAAAGCTAATGGGCTGGTGATGGGGGGTGGGGGTTCCAAGAAGGAAAAGGAGTCAGGACAGAAAGAACAGAGGCGTAGCTTCCTGCAGGTCACCACACAGAGGAGTCTGTCTCCCAGGTGTCTTTGGGACACTACACATGGGCTTGGCGCTGGGCACACAGCAGGCACTCAATCTGCATTGCCCAGTGCTCTGCCTGACAGCCCCGAGGCCTAAGGAGTCCTGCTCCGAGCACTGTGCAGTCTCTCAGTCCATGATGGAGGGCTGGCCAAGGCACGATCTTCCTAGCCTTGCCCACTCCACTTTCAGCTCAGCTATCCCCCAGGGCAGTAGGTTTCCAAGGACACTCTATAAACCCCAAGGCCCAGCAAGATATTCATAAGAGCTCCACTGAACAGAGGGCTCTACGGAGACTAATTTGTATCTAAACCAGCCCTTCCATGTCCAGTATAAAGTTGTCAGGAGGTTGTTCACTAGACACTGTCTACCAAAATGTTCTCATGGGTACATACACACACACACACACACACACACACACACTCTGAATAAAATAAAAGCCAATCCTGGGCAGATGGATCATGCAACTTTGAGCAGCTAAAACAACTACTCTGAGATCTTAGAAATAACCACTGTTACAGCATTTTTTGAATACAACCAGCTTAGGAGGCTCTCTGTGTTTAAACTGTCATGTGAATGTACCTGGCTAAGGGCAGCCAGAGCCCTAGAGGATTCAAACTTTGGAAGGTCAAATGAGAAGAAACGTAACCCGGGTTGTTGAACATTCAGCCTGGGCCCAGGCTAGATGGTGGGTAGGACGGGGAGATAAGGGATGGGCAGAAAAGTTAAGCCCTCAGGATATGCTGGTGGGCCTGTCTTTGCTGAAGGCACACATGCAATTTGGTCCCGGGCCATCCTTCTTCTAGGTCTGCTTTAATAGGGCCCCAGCAGGACAAGCTTGGCCTCATCACCAGATGGTGGGCTCATGCTCACTACCCAAGGTGGCCCACAAGCCTGAAGACGAGGAGGCCTGGGGAGGCCTTGGAGCTGGCCACAAGGAGGGCCATACTTAAAGGTTAAGAAAATCATGATGAAAGGGTGACAGCACAATGCACTCTCCAGACACAGCACCAGAGTCTGCAAGAGGACAAGCCAATCCTGGTCCCTGGCACACTCACTCACTCTCGGGGTGAGCTTGGGAGAACCCACACCTAACCCTGTAGTTTCTCACTTCACAGATGAAATAAGGAAAAGCTCAAGTCAAAACTCCACAGTGGGGAAAACATGCACACATACACTCAGCTGTACCCTAAAACAAAGTGAAAAACTGTCTGTCTATATACTTTTTAGGGCAGTTATTGAGAAAAAAGATTGTGGAGCCAAACAGTGTGGGTTCTAATCCTACGACCATCACTTACATACTGTCTGATCCTGGGAAAGTGACAACTCCTCTGAGCCTCATTTTCCTCATCTATAAAATGAGGATAAATACTAACACCATCCTTGTAGGACTGCTGAGAGCATTAAATGGGCAAATAGATGCAAAGTATTTAAAACAGTGCCTGCCCCATTTTAGGCATTATTTAAATGTTTGCTGTTATTATTACATTATATCCCAACTTTTAATTTCATGTTAGTTTTTCCAAAACATGAAGTTACTGAACTTCCTGTCCAAGCTAAGAAAATGGAATTAAGAGCAAGGTTCTGCCACTTTCAACAGGGTTGTGACAGGCACACTGCCAGGTTCTCTGTGGTCTGCTTCTGGTACAAGCGCTTGCTGAGTCTGTGGCTTTTCCTACAAAAGGACTTCTTGAACCTGATATGAGCGGCTGACTTTCTAAATGACTGTACCAAACACCCACTTCCCTGACGCCTCCACCACTGGCCGTGGGGGTGGACCGTGTAACTAACCTGTGCAAGCTTTCACGCAGGGCAGCCCCCTCCTCGTCCTTCTTCTGCATGGCGGCCTGGCACTCTGAAAGGTGACTGCTGGCACAGCTCAGCTTCTCTCCCATATCTGCCTGGACGGTCTGGCACAGGACATCAGGTAGAAGACACTCAGCTTGCAAACACCCATGCAGGATGCCATAAAGTCACCGGGGTGCTCTCTAGCAGTCACCCCATCTGGCGGGGTCACTTCTAACTGGAGGGGCTTTTGCTCGTTTGTTTTTAAGTTCAAGAGGCCGAGAACCTTTGTCCTATATTTGTGGAGCGTGACAACCTCCCTTGTGTAATTATGTCCCTCAAGCATCACTTGCAACTGGTTGCGGTGGCTGCGGGGCGGCAGGTATCAGACTCTCTAGGGGGGTGAGCGGGTGGCAGGGAGCAGGGCGCGTTTAGAGAAGTCATTGCCCTGAAGGCTGTGGTGTCAGCACCACCCTGCTCCCGCTCCGTTCAGACTCACTGACGTAGAGCACGTCTGCAGGGACGGCTAAGGATGACTTCCCTTCCGTAAGACACAAGAGCTGTGTGAAGAACACATCTGGGAGTTCCAGCCAGGTGTCCAGAGAGCGGACAGGGGCCATGACACAGACTCAGGGAGTCTACAAAGGTGACTGATGATGGCTTCCGCTCGGGAACTGGACATCCTGGAGGGAGCCCTCTTCAATGGTCCAGTGAAAACCAAACCAGATCCCTCTCCCTGCCAGGCCCACGCACTGGGCATGGGAATGACGAGGCAGAGGCCAGCACACTAGAGTGATCCGCCAGCTGCTCGTCAGGGCTCACGAAGCACACTTGCCCAGGCTGCAGCCTACCTTCAGCTTCCCCACAGCCTCCTCGGCAGCCTGCAGCTGCTGGCCTCGTTCTTCAAGCTGACCCCTGAGGCTCCTACACTCTTCAGTGGCAGCCTGGAGAGGACGAGAAAGGGGTCGCAAAATTGGAGTCCTGGTTCTGAGACTCCCTCAGCCCGATTCACCCAAATAGGTAAAAACAAGCTACCTCTTTCTTTTTTTCCACAAATTCAGTAAGCTTTGGGCTTTATTGGTAAAACCCTTTCAAGCTTATGAAGAGACTTAGGTTGGTCCCCAAACTTACAATTTAATTTCTGCAAGGGAAAATGTGACCTCTGAGCCACATGGAGCTGCACAGGGTGGGAGGCACATCTGTGGAAATGCAGCACTTGTCTAAGAGTGGCGTGTGGGGAGAGGCTGAGTGTACAGACCTCCATGCAAACAGACAAGTGACTGGCACTGGAAACCAAAGGTCTGTGGCCACCCACCTGTGTGCTCGCTCTGAACCCTCTTTCTTTGTGCAGCCTCAAGGGCACATGGTCACCACTGCTCTCAAAAGCTTGTCTATTCCTGGGGCTTTGTGAAAACTGAGTCAGTTCCCTCCAGCTGTCACTGCTATCAGGATAGCACCTGAAGGGACAGAGAACCCAGAGCAGGACTCGAGGCTGTCAGGAACCGCCAGTGTTCTACGGCAGGGTCTGGAGGCTAGGGCAGGGGTCTCCAACTCACATGCCCATGGGAGCTGGGCAGGTCCATAAACGGGTGTCAGGACAATACCAGAGGATATGTACCTCCTTCTAAGTGGGCAGCCACCACCCAGAGCCTGCTGACTCCTGCCATGTGCGAATGAGGGCACAGGATTTAGGACCTTCCAAGATTTCAAAAGAAGCCCCCAAACTGAATTTGTAAACATGCTGCTCTTTAAATGTTGGCTATTAATTAAAAAAAAAAATTCTCAGAGCCAGCCTTGATGGCCTAGTGGTTAAAGTTCAGTGTGATCTGCTTTGGCGGTCCAGGTTTGGTTCCCGGTGGCAGAACCATACCACTCATCTGTCAGTAGTCATGCGTGGCGGTGGCTCACATAGAAGAACTAGAAGGACTTACAACTAGAATACACAACTATGTACTGGGGCTTTGAGGAGGGAAAAAAAAGAAAAAACAAAGAGAAGAAGATTGGCAACAGATGTTAGCTCAGGGCGAATTTTTCCCTGCAAAAAAAAAAAAAAGAAATTCTCTGTGGGCGAAACTGGTCTGCAATGGCCTTGAGTTTAGACTGCTGGGCTAAGGCATCATTCCTCGATGTTGTGCCCTAATACATTTCTGCAGGAAGAAGGATGCTGTGAGCTACGACAGCAGGACGGGGCCATGTTTGCCTGGGCCCCCAGTACATTCTTGGGTCCTCATGTGCCACATGGCTGAAGGTGCATCCTATCTTCTTATGGACCCAACAGGCCCTGATGCAGGAGACACGTGCAGCCAGATGGTCAAGGCTAGGATTACCTTAAGTCTGCTCTGGTAGTCCATGATCTCGGTGCTCAGCTGGAACTTGAGGGTGTCGAGGTCCTGGTGTGCACTCTCCTGAAGGCTCTGGGCCCGCTGCTCGGCCTGGGATAGCTGGGCCTGCAGGTCAGGCAGTGAGCTGGCTGCCTCCTCAGCCACCTTCAGCTTCTCCTGCAAGCTCTCCTTCTCTTGCTGCAGCCCTGCCACTTGGTGTTCCAGGCCCTCTCGCTCCCTTGAGGCTGCCTCTTTGGCATCCTGGAGCTCCTGGATAGTGCAGGCCAGTGCCTCCTCCACCTGCTTTTTCTCTGCAGTCAGTGCGCAGACCTGGATGCCGAGCTCGGCTGTGTCTGTGTTAGCCCGGTGCAGCTGCTCCTGCAGCTCAGCATGTTCCAGCTGGGCTTCCTGGGAACTGCATTTCACCTGGGACAGCTCCTCCCGCAGGGCCTTGAGCTCGTCCTCCCTCTGCTGGGCCTCATCAGCCCTCTCCTCCTGCAGCACCTCTTCGCGCTCTGAGCACTGCAGTAGCTCCTGGACATGGGCCCGGTTGAGGGCTTCATTCTGCTCCTTCAGTTGCTGCACGAGGGCTTTGTGCTCCCTCAAAGCTGCCTCAGCCAAGCTCAGCTGGCTCTGTACCTTCTCCCGGTCATCCAGGGCTGCCTGGAGTTTGGCCCGGAAGTCCACCACACTAGCTTGCAGTCGCTGAGCCTCCCCCTGATGGACTTCCAGTTGTACCCGAGATAGGGCCAGCTGGGCTGCTAGCTCATGGGGTGCATTGTCTTGAGGTGGGCCGAGTCCCTGTTGGCCTTTTTCTGCTGTAAGGGTCTTGATCAGCTGGGTCTGCTGGAGGCACTGGCTCTCAAGGGCCCTGAGCTCCCCTTCCCGGGCCTCTGCTAGCCGCCTGCACTGCTCCACCTCCTCCTGCAGTTGCTGGCACTTGGCCTCCTTGCTCTGCAGGGCAGCCTCCTTCTCCGCCACTTGGGCCCTCATGGTCTCCTTGGCCTTCCTCACAGCCAGGAGGCTTGCCTCCATCTGGTCACCTAAGTGCCGGATGCTGGCCTGCTCTGACTCCAGGGAGGCCAGCGAGCCCTGGATGGCTGCCTCCCGCTGCTGCAGAGCTTGGTAATCAGCCTGCAGAGCCTGCAGCTTGTCCTCTAGGAGCTGGTTGCGCCCAACCACATTCTGCAGCTCCTTCTCCAGCTCCCTGTTGGCCTGCTGGAGCTTCTCCTGCTGGCTGTCCCCTGGCATCTTGGTATCGTCCATCTGTCCCTCCTGCAGGCCCCTCTGCTCCCCCTCTGGCTTCTCAGAGGCCTGCTGCAGGGTAGAGTTGAGGGGGGCCAGAGCCTCACTCTTCCCACCCGCCATGGGCAGATCTGTGCCAAGCTGTCCAGCAAGCTGCTCCAGCGTCCCCACCTTCTGGCTGAGGTGGTCTTTGTCCTGGATGAGCTGTTTCTTCTGCTCCTCCAGGTCACTCACATGCTGGCTCATGTGTGCCAGCTGGGTCTCCAGGAGTTGCAGCTGCCGTGTCAGGGACCTGGCCTCCTGCACCAACAGCTCCTTCTCCTCCCGGCGCTGCTGCGCCTCCTGCCTCACCTCTGCCAGCTCTTCCTCCAGGGAGCTCAAGTGGGCCAGCGCCTCCTGTAGCTGTCGCCGGAGCTGAGCTGCCTCCTGACCCTTCCCAGAGAGCTCTTCCCGGAGTGGGGCCATCTCCTTTACCAGCTGCTCCAGGCTGGCCCGGGCCTCCTCCTTCAGCTGCAGCTCCTTGGCCAGCTGCTCCAGCTGGGCACTCTGCTGCCTATTGAGCTCCTGGACCTTGGTGCTTTCCCCTTCCAGGGCGCGAAGCTTCTCCCCCAGCTCCTGGATCTCCAGGGCCGAGTCACTGGGGATGAGCTCTTGCTGTCCCTTTGTGTCCAGTGCAGTATCTGCCTTCTGCTCAGCTGTGCCCAGCTGGTCGGGGACATTAGCTAAATGCTGACTCTTCCTGCCCAATGAGTCCCGTGTGGCCTCGAGCTCCTGTGCCAGGGGCTGCAGCATGGACTCGAGCCGCCGCAGGGCTGAGTGGTAATCCTCTTCCTTCTCTGCTGCACCCAGCTCCAGGGCGTGTAGGCACTTCTGCAGTTCCTCCACAGTGTTCTGTGTGGCCTGGGTGACCTCCCACTGCTTCTGGAGCTCCGCCATCATGCAAGTGAGGCGGACATTGTCCTCAGCTGCAGCACGACTTCTCTCCTTCTCCAGCTGTAGCTGCTCTCCCTGCAAATTGACAGCTGCCCTCAGCTCCTGGTTCTCTCTATCCAGCTGCTGCATTTGTTCCTGCAGCTGCTTCTCCCGCACCTCCAACTGGTCCAGCTCCAGCCGCATCTCGTCAAAGCCCTCCAGTGCCTCATTGTTTAAGGTGCTGTTCAGGTCAAAGGTGGAGGCCATCTCCTGATTCTGGGGAGGAAAAACAAAAAACAAGTGCCTTTGGGATGAAGCTACATGGCTACTCAGAAAAGCTTTAGAGTTTAATGAGCACAGAAGTAAAAAGACAGCAATTACATGACCTAAGGTTAGTCTATAGAGCTATTCTAAGGACTAGAACTGCTTTGCTCAAAGCATCTGCCAAAGGAGGTCAGCAGCACATCCTAAAGACATAACACCACACGTGTGAACTCCACTGAGACTTGGAACTCACATTTCCATTCCAGACTCCTGTAGCTTTAGTTATATAATGGGTGTTGGCTCTTACATAAATTAAGTTATATTTAAACTACTGTTCACCCATTGCACCATACAGACAACTCCTACTGTGATTAAACCACAAAATAAGGTAAAAGGTTAGTCTGTTTTCTGCCTTAATGCTTCTTATATTATTTTTATTGTTTTGCTAATTAATTTTAGTGTTCTTTCCCACAAAACTATATACACCTATGACACAGTCACACTTCCAACAAAGTTAACAAAATGAACCCAACCCACTAACACTTACCGAGCACTTGCCTATGTCAAGCCCTTGAGCACTGTTCATGTGCTCCCTCATTCAATCCCACAACTGCCTCATGAACTGGAATGATTTTTATGATCCCCACTTTATGGATGAGAGAGCTGAAGCTTGAGGGGGTAAGTGATCTTCTCAGGGTCTCAAAGCTGGTAGGTGACAGTCAGGATTTGACTCTGCTGCTGCTTCTTTTTTCTTTTGTTTTTTTGCTGAAGAAGATTCACTGAGCTAACATCTGTGCCATCTTCCTCGATTTTGTATGTAGGTTGCCACCACAGCATGACAGTGGTGTAGGTCCACATCCAGGAACCAAATCTATGAACCCAGGCTGCTGAACCAGAGAGCATGAACTTAACTACTATGTTTGGGGCTGGCCCCTGGACTCTGCCGCTTTTAACCACAGTGCTAAACTGCTTCTTTTAAAATACTTTAAAAGCTTTTTTTAAAATTTAACTTTTAGGGGGTGGCCCATTGGCAAAGTGGTCAAGTTTGTGTGCTCTGCTTTGGCGGCCGGGGCTTTGCAGGTTGAGATCCCAGGCACAGACGTAGCACTGCTCGTCAAGCCACTCTGTGGTGGCATCCCACATGAAATAGAGGAAGATTGCCACAAATGTTAGTTCAGCATCAATCTTCCTCAAGCAAAAAGAGGAAGATCGGAAATAGATGTTAGCTCAGAGCCACAAAAAATTTAATTTTTAAAAGGCCTAAATTCTATTGGTTATAAAAACCTGGACTCTAGGCAATAGTGGATATAACTGAGGAATTGTATGGCTCTGGCTGGAACAAAAGGTGTCTGAGAACATGAGATGATGTTTTTGCGAGAGGCAGAAACACACCCTGGTTGACACCACAGCAAGGAAATCCCCAGCCTCTCTGGCATTACCTGCAGGTAGCTGCTCACCAAACTGCTCACGCTGGAGCTCCGGCTGGGGGGTTTCCACATGTAAGCAGAAGAGCCAGTGCCCAGTGTCCTCCTGTGGGGCCACAGAACAGACACACCTGCATCAGAGCAGGAAATACACACACACACACAGGGAGGCCTTGGTTGTCACTAGGCAACCAGGTGGTGGCAAAGGGCAGTGCCCTGTCAGATAGAGCACAGAAGGCAAATCCAGCCCTTCCACCAGAGAGCACCTTTACGTTGGTCTGCAGCGGATGGACCCCACCGCTAAAGTTTAAACATGATGGCTTTCCCCTCACCGCCAAAAAAGAACTAAGTGAACAGAATATTTCCCAATTTTTGGTTTAAATGTCCTTGGTGCCTGCTATAGTCTGTCTGCTAGTGAGGAACAAGCAACAGTCGATCTGGTAAATGAAGGTCACGTTGTGCTTAGGGGCTCCCGGTGACCGGTTTACATTACAAATGAGCAACATGGCTGGAAGAGCTGCTTCTAGTTCCCATAACCGCATCAGACAGCGAAGGCGCAGGACATTTCCCTCACTGCAGAAAGCTCTACCTGACAGCACTAGCCGAGAAGCACAAAGACTTGTGTGATGACTCTCTTTCAGTAGGAACACTGCAAACTAAACATATTTTTATTTAACCAGAATCTTCTCCTTAATCTACAATTATTGCATTTTAAAACTTGCTGGTCTCCACCACCCAGCAATTCCACCTCTCAGTATCTACCCCAAAGACAGAACCGTATGTGCAAAAAGAGACACAGTACAGCACAGTAATGGTAGAAACAGCCTAACTCTACATCACTAAAAAAACAGACAACCTGTGGCTTACTGGCACAACAGAATATTCCACACCATGGGATGGCAATCTCTTTTTGTAAAGGGCCAGATAGTAAATATTTTGGGTTCGCAAGCCTTATGGTTTCTGTCCTAACAACTCAACTCTGCCACTGTGGCATGAAAGCAGCCATGGACAACATGTGAACGAATGGGGGACGCTGGGTTTCACACGGCCCTGTGGGCTGTGGTTTGCCGGCTCCTACTCTACATCTATAGAACTCCACATGCAGATAAAAATCTCAAAAACAATGTGGAATGAAAAAAGCAAGTTGCAAAAGGATAGCTAGGTCATGATTCAACATATGCAAATTAAAAAATATACAAAGTACAATTATATATGTAAAATATTTATAATCACACCATCTAGTAAAACATAAAAATATTTGGGAATAACTACACCAACTACAGGGCTGTGATTACTTCCAGAAAGGGAGAGAAGGGGAGAGGATGGTAGTGGGGTGGGGCTTTATTTGGATCTGTAATATTTTGTTTCTTAAAAAAAAGCTATCAGACAATAACAAAAAACCCCCCCAAAAGAACCAGCTTGAAAGCCAAATATGGGACATAATTACAGTGACAGAAGTGAATTGAACCCATTGAATAAAATAAAAATCCATGAGTCAACAACTGCTTTAACTGAATAAATAAATAGCAAAGAAGGAAAAGATCTTTCTTACAATAGAATGCCAAGTACTAATGTAGAAGGAATAACGGAGACAAAAAATCACTCTGGTAATCACGACAACGATTGATTCAGTGAGAATTATCAATGGATGCTAAAACTAACAGGGAAGAGATGGAAAAGAAACAGGATAATAACCTAACCTCAAAGTATCTTCCCATAAGATACATATTGATTACACAGAGAGACATAGTAACTGTAGGAGAAACCTAGCAAACCCCACCTTAACCAAACGATCATGGTTAACCTAACTAGCAATGAAACAGATCAGCATCATGTGTTTCTGAATATAATGTGCTGAGAAGGACACAACATCCGGGGTATTCCTGCCAAAAATGCTTAACCTGAATCTAATAATGAGGAAACACTAGACAAACTCAAATCAAGGAACATTTCACAAAATAACTGGCCTGTACTTTAAAAAAAAGTCTACACTATGAAAGACAAAGACTGAGAAATGGTTCCAAATTAAAGAGGACTAGTGAGACACGACAATTAACTGCAACATGGGATCGTAGATTGGGTCCCAGATTATAAAAGACATTATTGGGATAATTCTTGAAATTTGAATAAGGTCTGTAAATTAGATAGCAATATTGTATCAATGTTAATTTCCTGACTAATAATTATACTGAGGTTATATAAGAGGATGTCTGTGATTTGAGGAAATATACAATGAAGTACTTAGGAGTAAATGGGAATCAAGTCTGTAACCATCTCCCAAATGACTTAGGAAATAGACCAACATGTAAATGTAAAAAGAAAGAATGATAAAACAGTTGTAGTAAAATACTGAAAACTGGGAAATCAAGGTGAAAGACAGATGAGTACTCTGTACTAGTTTTGAAACTTTTCTGTAATACTGAAATGATTTCAAAATTAAAGTTTTAAAAAAGGACATAAATAAATACGGCAAAACGTGAGCTATTAAATCCTACTAGTTGGCACATGGGTATCATTATATTCAGTACTTTTCTCTACATAGAAAATATTTCCTAATAAAAATCATGACAATTGAAATTAGAAAAATCTTATTAACAAAAAGCAAAACAAAATGAAGAACGCTGGACTTGATTTAACTCGAGTCTGGTGTTCTGGGCCTGCTGCCCAGCAGCTGTGTGACTTTGGGCAAATCCCTCCACTCTCTGAGCCTGTCTCCTCAGCATTGCCCTCCTGGAGTGGCTGTGAGGATTCACTTGGATGGCGTGTGAGTGTCACATTGGTGTAAGAAATGAAAATACAGCGACCTTTCCAGCAACCCTCACGTGGACAAGCTGTAGCTTTCCTCTCTTATTGCCTGGAAGGCCTCCATGATCACTCTGTAAGAACACAAACGGCAAAAAGCCCACTTGCCCCACCCTCCACCCCTGACTCCCACGCCAAGCCCCTTAGCACATTTAAAAAAACTTCAGTTTTACAGACGCATTGCCATGTAAAATTAGCAGCTGTAAGAGAGGCAAAGCTTTATGTAATTTATTGAGCAAGCAAAATTGCTTTCAGTAGACTGGTGGCAATCTTCAAAACATCAAACACCTCTTACCCCTGATTTTTAAACCAAACACTTCTTTAAAATACCTGGCAAACGTCGGCCAGGCAGCATCCAAGTCGTAGCCCCTTGAGGCCAGGTCAAACTGAACGTCAGTCAGCTCATAGAGTTGACCCACGATGTCAGAGCTCAGCTTTGGCTTCAGAAAGGGGCTTCTTGCATAGTACCAGTCACTGCAGGGAAACATAAAAAGGTATCAATCATAAGAGTAATAATAAAGATAAGGAAAGTAAATTTAGTCAATCCTCCCCGTAAGGCTCTGCCTTATCAAATTCTAACTCAGATTACTACATTAATTAAATTCAGACACACGCACACACACACACACACACACACACACACACTCCAATTTGATTTTCACTGTAGGAGCACATAACTCTCAAATACGCTTCAAGGAAAATACTGAAATGAATTATATATTTATTCATTTATATCACATCTTTTCCCAAAAAGGATATGATAAAACTTAAGTCTCAATTACTTGCCAAGAAGGGGAAGTTGCAGAGGAAAGAACACTTCCTTTTTGAAAGATCACTTCATCTTCTACTCTTTCTGGAGAATTCAGTACATGACATCGGACTCACTGCTAATTTCTGTCCAGGCACCAATTTAAAAGCTAAGGAACAAAATATCTGCACTTGGAAGTGGTGGTTGTTTCACTTCATGTGAAGCAATAAGAATTAAAAGAGACAACCCTGATGAGTTTAAAGCGCTACTTGGCTGAAGTCAGTGAACTGTAATATACTAGAAGTCAAGCTGTTTATGATGATTTTCACCAAACACGTGGAACAAAATCACCTTCAGGTCAAATGCGCAAAGGTTCTCAACTTACATCAACACATGAAGCCTGTCACACGCATGAGAAATACATCTTTATGCAAATCAACCTTACAGGTGACAAAACAAAACATTTTTTCCCCAAAAGTTTTTTCTTAATTCAGAAGTGATTTCTTTGATTAACTGGAAACACTCTCTAGGGAGAGAGGAGGCAGAACTGGAAAAGGGGTGCTGGGCAACCCAAAGAGGTTTAGCTGATGGTACCTGACCTGCAGCTCCAAATCTGACACCCTCTCCCCCTTGGCACGCTCAATCCCGCCTCCTCTGGCACAAAGGCTGACCACAGGGAACCAGGGCACTGCAGTGGCTCCCAGTCTGGTCACCCACCACCATTTCCACAGAGCCCAGACACGCTCAGCAGGTGTCGACCTAGGGTCTCAGGTGAGGCCCTAGGCTCAGCAGTGTTAAAAACACCACAGGTGATTCTGCTGAGAGGCCAAGGCTGCAATCCACTGGTCCAGGATGGCCATGGGGTGTGTCCATTCATTAGTGCCAGCATCAAGAAGTTGCCATCCACCAGGGAAAACCATGTGACTTTAGGAATTAAGAGACCTGGACCCAAGCTCCTGCTTTATGACTCGGCATCAGTGGGGCCTGGAAAAAAGCATTTATCCTTTCTGAGCCTCATTTTCCTCACCTGTAAACACTCAGTGCTACCCACCCCACACGTGTCAGGGACTGTGGTAGGCAGGGCAGAAGAGGATGACAGACGTAGAAGGGCTTTGCTTGTGCCAAAGTGTGACAGAAACAGGCACTGCTGCTGCAGCTGTCATTGTCACTGAGGGGCCTTCGCTCAGGTGTGAATGGTAGGGGTAAATCCCCGAGTTGCCCTGTATTTACCTGGTCACTCTGGTGTTCATGAAGCACTGCTGTAAGGTGTCTGCCAACCTCTGGTGTACCAACGAGTAGCGAATAAACGCTCTCCCCTTTCCCAGAGATGTTCGGAGCTGGAAAAGGCAGATTACACAGAAAAGAAGAGCTGTTAGCCTAACTCCATATACAGACCTGGCCTCATGGGTGAGGATGGCTGGCAAAAAGCAGAAACGGACCAAAAACGTCACCCACTTCCACCTTATTCATTGGCTTCAATCATGTCCCTCAAAGGACGCAAAACATTTGAGACCATCACCCCGAGGGTGAGGCCTGACGTGGGTGGACTTCTTGCAGGCCTCCAGCGGAGGATAAGCAGAGACTCCAGCAAACATTCAAGGAAGATACTTTCCTGAGAGGCTTTCAAACACCTGTAGATCCTACAGCAATGTCAGTCTCCCTCCTCCGCTCCATCAGAATCTCTGCGTTTGCAGTCAGAGATGAAACTGTTTGATTTAATTTGGAATATTTACAATAAAACAGGGAGGTAAATGAAGGGCTTCTCACACCAGGGATGAGTCTGACCGGGAGATGCTCTCAGTACGGCTAATGTTGAGGTGCCGGAAGAAGAGGTGCAGAGGAGAGGCCTAAAGGGCTCGGCCGGAGCCCTTGTGGAAGGGAGTCGAGAGGAGGTCAAAGGGAAGAGGTGTGTGAGAGGGACTTCGGAGAAGTTGTGACGGCCGTATAATTGCCTCCTCTGTGTCCTCAGGAAACCATCATTATAAGCCATGTTATCTGTCACGGCCTTCCTGGTTGGACTTCTTTCCAGCTCTACAACTCACTGCATTGAGTCAGAAGGTGCCCAGGAGGTGAGAGCAGGGGTGTCTCTAGGTGGCCCAGCCACATTGGGGTAACAAAAATGGGCGTGGTTCTGTTTCAGGAAGCCTGAGGTGCATTGGGGGGGGTCCAGGTGCAGGCCTATCTTCAAAACCTCTCCCACAGTGCCAAAATATGGTTTCTAAAGATGTTTCTGGAAGCTTGTTGTGATGAAGGGGCGTAGGCTGGTCAGAGACTCTGCCACAAGGCTGCCAAAGCAGGCAGACAGCTGCCAAGATGAAGGGAATAAAGAGGACTGCCACAGAAGACACTTGAGACCAGCTTACAAATCAGGATTCATACTCCTGATGTCACTTCCCCAGAAGCTCAAGATAAGCAGGCAGGAATTCAAAACCTCTTGACCCACCACACACAGGTGTTCTGTCAGGCGCTGGCTCCGGCTCCGAGTGGGATAAGCAAAGACCCACACCCTCCTCACCCCTTCAAAGGTCAGAAATGTTTAACTTGGTGGTTGGGGCGAAGGGGCAAGTGGGTTGACCAAAGGATGGTCCTCACACTCCATCCTATTAAGAAACCAATTATGGCACTGGGCTGAGACAGGCCATCCTCAAGCCTCGGCCTCAAGCACGGCCACGGTGACAACAGTGTAAACATCCTGGTACACAGCACCTTATAGCTAGAGCTACACATCTTCCTACTGCTGACTCAAGGAAATGAGGCCACAGTATGAAGGAGTTTTAAAAAATAAAAAGGCGTGAAACCTCCTGAACGACAGAGACTGTAAGACATTCCTCCACGTGAGTTTTGTGAGTTTAGGGTATAGTCAGAATGCCTGGAAATGAAGGTAGGCAGCAGCCTGACTTACTGGCTTTGTAAAAACCAGCACGGCACGTCTATAGATGCTAGATCATGATAGATGCCCAGCAGAGAATCTTGATGACGTCGAGATACTTTTTCCACTGATGAGTGAGGTGAGAACAAAGCGTTCAGTGGCGGTAACTGGGAAACTCAGGCAGCCGAGGACAGCTGAGCAAGGCATCGTGAAGTGAAGCGTGTCAGTCATACAAACACACCCACATACAGGGCCTGTGGACTCTACTAAGAACCTCACATAACAGCCCTTGTCTGTAAGCTCCCAATACAGGGGCTTGTCCTTATTAGCAAAATGACCATTCTAACAGCATTTAGAACATTAAAACTTGTTTTAATGGCAAACGTTTGAGGTTACATTTTTAATAAGGGCTATTAACTGAATTGATTATATGTATAAAGGGAGCTATTTACTTTTTAAAATATTTTTAAACACCCTCCAGGGAAGGGAACAACAGTTCCTTTGCACTGCAAATGAAAATGCTGCACAGCTTTTTGATTTTTCATTTTTTGAGATCACGGGTCTGCTTTCATTACCTAATTTCTTAACTTTTTTAGCATCTAATCAGAACTCACATGCACTACACTGAGAAGTGATACAACAGCAGCAAAGAACAGGAAGTCTGCAAGGTACACGAGAGCTGATTCTGCTCTAAACCAAGCCACTGTGCCAGCAGCCTGACGCCAAGCTGCACCCTGGTTGTGATCCTGTCCATCGCGGTGAAACACACGCAGTCCAGGGGAAGCCCATTCTGAACCTCCAGGCGTGGCTGATTAGAGCCTTCGACTGTGTTAGTCCAAATGGCTGCCCCTCATCCCACATGGCCTGAGGGGCCCAGCAATGCTTCCTATCCATTAACTTTCACCTTCTGGCTTGTCAGCCTGGATGTCACTTGATCATTAAAGTTAACCCAAGTATCCAGCAGCCCACTGGCCTAGTGACATTCTGAGCCATTCTACCCAATAATGCTCCAGACAGCAGAGTCTTCAACAGAGATGAGACAATCAGACCCTGTGGGACGTGGAGCCCATGCCAGTCACCAACAGCGTTTGTGCAAGCAGGGAATGCTTCTTGCTTCTGGAAGTCAGTTTCCCTGGCCTCGGATTGTCTCGGGGTCTGTGCATTATGAGAAAAGGAGAGGAAACTAGCCAAGAAGTAAACTTAAGCATTTTGTAACCCTGGGGAATGAGGATTAAACTAAATTTAATTGCAGACGTCAGCAGTCCAAAGTCATAAAGTCAAAGGTTTTAGTTACTCTGAGCGGAAGACAGGAGAGTGACACTGAGAACTGCTTCCAGATTTATGCAGAGGAGGGTGACAAGGAGAACTCTCTCTGGATTTATGATGCACTAAAACAGTGCTCTACATCATGGACCTAAGGGTCCCCCCCTCACAAGACCCGTCACACTACATGGACATTAAAGAAATTTGCAGAGCAAACTCTTCAGAGCCAGGATCTTTCCTCATTTTCTCAGATGTCAGAGAGCGCAGCTGGTGGAAAATGCTCGGCCCTCAATGTCATTCTCTATAAGAAGAAACCCATCCGGCTCTAGCTGGCACGGTCCGGAAAGAGATCCTCCCAGAGCACCTGACTCTATGGCCTCTGTGGGAGGCCAGCCAAGGAGCATGTCTGCTGGCTTTAAAGTGCCTTTAAACTTACTGACGAGATACTGAAAAGAAAGATAAAATGATGAAACCCTTTAGGCCTCCTATCCCAAATCTAGGGGTTTACTTGCTCCCTAATGTGCAAAATTCTTCACTCCTGTATGGACTAGGCTGATAAGAGAGAGGGAGGAGATTCATCAGGGTGGAGGAGAGGGAGAGGGGGAGGAAAGGAGGAAGGAGGGGGGAAGGGGGAGGGAGAGAGGGAGAGGGAGGGAGGGGGAGGGAGGGAGGGACAGGGGAGGGGAGGGAGAGAGTGAGAGGGAGGGAGGGGGAGGGAGGGAGAGGGGAAGGGAGGGAGAGAGAAAAAGACAGACAGACAGATGGTGTGTGTGTGTTTGTTGTTATTCTGGCATTCTGCTCTTGAGGGGTTCAGAACTGTGTATGGGAAGTTGCTTAGCACACCAGCATTTTAAGAAATGTCTCTTGAAATCCCAATCACTCTCTTCATTTCAAATCCAAGTTTCTTGGGCAAACTGTAAGGAAAGCAGCCTAGCAAACTCTAAGATTTTTACCAAAGAAACTGACCTTTTAAAAAAGGCAGAGGCATCCTGTGCGCTACACCTCCGAGGGGCACCGTGAGCAGACCACAGTGTGAGCAGCCCACCCTGTGGGTGACGTGTGGGTGGTGGTCTAATGCACAGAGTCAGGACTGAGCCATCCCTCGGCTCGGTGAACGCTCACTCAGGTGGCTTCCCTGAGCCAACAGTGGGCACTGAGTATAGTCAATCTGGATTTCTTTACTTCTTTACCACCCCTAAACTGCCACTTCCTCACCTGGCTGTCCGTGGCAAGGGTCTCTGCAAGAGCTGCTTAAGACAGGCGGGAGGAAGATGTGAGGTCCTTGCTCCGCTTACCTCCGAAATAGACTTGACGAATCGGATCCCGTCATTGGCTCCTTTCACCTTGGCTAGGCAGGCACAGAAGTAATCCCAGTAGTCCTTCTTGCTGCCCAGGAGCGTGGCCTTCTCTTTCTGATCGAACTGTGGGGGGAGACGGACAGAGAGAGGAGGTCCAAACCACTACTGCTCATCCCATCATTTAAATGCTAAATAATAACGATAGCTTCTTAATTGCCTGGCACTGGGCAAGGCCCTTTGTTGACATTATTTTTATTCATTGGCAATTGAAGGTGTTTTAATCCTCAATTTACAGATGAGGAAATGGAGGCTAGTGGAGGTTAAGTAACTGGCTCAAGGTCACACAACTAGTGAGATTCAGGAATAACAGCCCCCCAATAGATTATCCCTTGAAGAATACTCTGTGCATAGAGTTGGGTGGAAGACCACCAAAGTTGCTACTAACATGATAAAGAAATATAAGTGAAAAGCCTTCAGGGCAACAAGAAGAGGGTTAACCATGTCTCAGCTTAGGGAAATGAGTTAGTGACATTTTATCCCAGTTACTCAACTTTCAATACTGTTTTAATATACGCATAATACATTTAAAAAATGTCAGCTATAAGTCATTTCAAATCCAAAACCAAAATGGGCTAATTGAAAAAAAAAAAAGGTCCATAAATATTTTCACAATGTAAAACAGAGCACCAGTTGAAAAGGCATGTGAAAGGCGAGTCCCTCAACACGCTGGGGGCATCTCCTCCAGCAGGCTCTCATCCTACCTGCTTTACTGGGATCTGAGGTTGCAGACTTACAGTGTTCAAAATGATATAGGTATGTCTTTCTATAACATAATATTTTATGGCATTTTTTTCTGATTATAGAAGTGAGATATGCATATGTTGTTAGGAAATCAGGATAAAACAAAAACAAAATTATAATGCCTAATACTACCACCCTAAAATAACTTCTATTAACATTTTGGTCCTATTATATTAACTTCTATTAACGTTTTGCCTATTGTAGTTGCCTGTACTTTTCCACATCTGCAGTGTTCGCTAGATCTAGCTTTTTTCAAAAACATTTTTAATTTATTTTTGAGGAAGATTAGCCCTGAGCTAACATCTGCTGCCAATCCTCCTCTTTTTTGCTGAGGAAGATAGGCCCTGAGCTAACATCTCTGCCGATCTTCCTCTACTTTATATGTGGGACACCTGCCACAGCATGGCTTGATAAACAGTGTGTAGTTCTGCGCCCAGGATTCGAACAAGTGAACCCCAGGCCACCGAAGCAGAGCACGCGAACTTAACCACTGCACCACAGGCTGGTCCCAGATCTGTGCTTCTTGAACCAAGCAGACATAAGCATTACACTGTGAGTGTGTTAAAAGAAAACTTCCTGAGTTGACCTCAGAGATCCTGATTCAGCAGGTCAGGTGGGAAGCAAGAACATGTTTCTCACCTGCTCCCAGATGATGTTGATACTGCTGGTCTATGGACCACACTTTGAGCAGAAAGCTCTAAAACGGGAGCCTCTGGATAATCATCAGAGGTCTACACGCTCCTGGAAAATGTGTGATCGGGTGTGTACACATATGCACGTCTGCTTGGGGAGAGATCCCACAGCTTTCACCAGACTGGCAAAGGGTATGTGACTGCCCCACAGTTAAGATCCCTGCTATACAGTGACCTTGTGACCTGCCCTAAGGTGACTAACTCTCCAAAGAATGTTCTCGATTGCCAAAACTATCCTAAGAGGCAACGTTCTGATTCCCCAGAGGATTGCACTTGGAGGCTTCGGCTCTCGCAGGGCACTGCTCCGACTTCAGTCTAACCAGGAGGGCTTCATGGCTCCACCGAGGTTTCTGAACCACATCCTGCATGCTGACAAGTCACCCAAGAGGGAAACGAGACAACAGAGCAGAAATCAACACAGTACAGGAGTCACTTACTTGAAGGAGATACTCAAGTTTATAAGAAAACTTATGCAAGCTGGTGCTGTCATCTGTGATGGGTTCCCCTGCTTCCTTAAATTCTTGGCTTAGTTCTGTCACAGCATCTTTAAGACAACAAATAAGAACATGTAACCAGATGGAGACTGACATCAGGGAGAGAAGCAGAATAACCCCGAAAAGTATGAGGAGTAAGTGGTCAATGATGGCAAAGCCTCGGACATGTGAAGCGGTATGTGACATCCACGGGATGTAATTCTAGGTCAGAAGGCGTTAAGATGTCTTGAGAGCCCAAGGTACTTTACAATATCTCGCTAACTGAGCACAGTTCTTGGTCATCCCTGTAGGCCCCTGACATAGGCCTCATAATTTTCATGCAGTGTTTTGCCAACAAATGTTTGCTGTGTAGATGAATCATTCAGAAGTCCCCTAATACTGACTTCCAGAAAGGTTTACTCTTTATTCTGGCAATGTTTCTTGTTGTTGTTTATTATAACCCTACCGTTCAGTATAGGTAAGGCCAGGCTGCAGGAAGACCCAGAATGTGCAAATAATAGTGATGATAATCCCAAGAATGACAACACAATATCTGCTTCTAACTGAGGGCCTAGGAGGGTCCAGGGCTTTGCCTGCCACCCTCATTTAATACGGCCCTGCAAGGCAAGCATTGCCTTATTTCAACAAATCGAAGATGTAATTGATTTTAAGATGATCCCAATTTCAGAGCTGTTAAAATGTGGAAAAAAATAAGTACCCCTTAGAACTGACGAAGGCTGGTATTACCATCCCCATTTTACAGACGAGGAACTCAGGAAAAGGTCAGAGTACTTGGCCAAAGATCATGGGGGGCAAACAGCAGAGCTGGAATGAGAACCTGTTTCCTCAAGGGCTTTCCGACTCCAGAGCCCACCTCTTAACTTCTAAGATAATGCATTTCCTGTGCAGAAAAGGAGAAAAACCACCTCTGACTCCCTCACAGCCCCTGCTGTGGGACAGAGGGACTGTCAGAAGCTGGGTAAAATGTCCCCAGCTGAGACGGTGGGGATGTGCTGGACAAAACTATCTCCTTCTCTGACGATTCTTAAAACGGAAGAGCCACCGGCCCTGCTGTCAAGTACCACAGTTAGAAAGTGGACCCGCCAAGGACTGAGGCTGAGCCCGGGCGGGCTAACATTTAATCAACACCGACCCCAGGCAAAGGTCAGCCAACGGCGCAGATTCTTGGGACTGCTTCTTACAAGTGAGTGTTGTTGAGCTGCACCCTACTAGTGTCTACTGTGGCTGCACCGAGGGCCAGGGACCAGGACACATAGCCTCCCTCCTCCACCCCAGGCCGGGTAAACACTCACAACCTGGTCTGGAAACTCCTGAAAGTCTGAAAGGAGGAGCCTTTGGACATGAAATATGAAATTTTCAGCTCTGATCTCTGATACTCAAAATGTATTAGTTATGAAAAATCTTAGCCTCACATGAATTATATATTTGCTTCTGCCATCAATCATGAGAAGTGGGTGTCATCATCAAACCTACGTCACACACAAAGAGAGCAACTGCACCTTGGAAGGGTGGAGGGACTTGGCCAACATCTTCTGGTTAAAAGGCAGAGCCAGGAGCTTAGGCCAAGCCTGCCTGACTCCAAAGCCCTCATACCTACTGTCACCAGGAGGATAAGGGGCTGCCCTGCAGAGGGGTGAAGGCTGCGCACCGCACAGGACGCCTCAGTTAAGGTGTTATGGTGGATGCTGTAGATCTGTCACAGGCTTACTGAGACAGGAGCCAAAGATGAAAAGAAAGGGTCTTGAGAAAGTGGCGCCTGTTAAGAGCTCCCATCAAAGTGCTCTGTGGGCTGGGTATAGGACACTGATTCGGCCTTGGGATGTCGGGGATGACCAGATGCAGCCAGTACATGGGGTGGAAAAAGGCAACTGAACAATTGCTAATGCCAGTCCCCTCCCTGGATCAGGAGCTCTACCTGAGGGTCCTCACTTCCTCTCTCTTCCCTCCCAGTAAGGACATCTGGGTCTCCGAGTTGTCCTTGAGAACCATAGACTAGACATTAGAGAAGACTGCCTACTTTGTGTAGAAACCTGATGGCCAGTGGCAAACTCAGATCTGTAGGGACTGTCATTTTACTTTCTCTGCCTCTGTGTGTGTGTATAGATTTTAAAAAAAAAACCCATCTAACATTTTAGCTGGAAGCAGGCTGGTGTGGTTAAGAGCACAGACTCTGGCACCAGGTGTATGTACAAACCCAGGCTTTGCCTTACTGGCTGGGTGACCTTAGGCAAGTCACTTCACTTTTCTGAGCCTGTTTCCGCATCCGCAAAACGGGAATAATAATGGTTCCTACCTCAAAGGACCAAATGTGATGACACAATGAGTTATCATCCATAAGTCATGTAGGACAGTGCCTGGCACATGTGAGATGCCAAGTAATTGTTAGCCATTAGAGTCCCAAAGTACTATATAAACAGGAGATAAGCCTGAGAATGATTTTTATCTCACTGACTTTTGTCCTTCAGAATAAGGACGGTACTTTGGCTGCCACCAGCTTGATGGCCCTGGGCAGGAGAGACTGCAGTTGGTCACCACTCTGTGTGAGCTGTCAGGAACCTGGGCCTTCAGCCTTTCAGGAGAAGGTCACTGTGGTCTCTGCGACGTGGAGGAAGAGGTCAGCTTCAGACTGTGCTGCAGCAAATGTGCTAGAGCCCCAAAGAGGTTCACAAGACTGGCCCTGGACATCTTCGGGGGATGGAAAACTTGCCAAAATTCTGACCCCGGGACACCACCAGAAAGGCTGAACTCGGGCCCTGGACTCTGCAGCCAGGAGTGAGAGAGCAGTCTGTTCTCCTGAGTCTTCTCCTCTTCACACGCACCCTCCCCGCCTTGCCCTTCTCAGAGAGACGAGGCTCACAAGTCTTCTCTCTCAGTGGGCAACACTGAGCTCAGGAAGTCTGGACGACAGTAGGCCCAGAACTGGAGCGTGTTACAGGCAAAAGGCCATCCGCCCACCAGGCCCAGGTGGGACAGCAAAACAAGACAGACGGGAATCCCGTCTTCCTGCTCAGAGGGAGGGAGAACACTCCTCCCCAATTAAGCCAACTTCATCAGACCCCAGAGGCTCATGATTCAGCCAAAGACTTAATGGCTTAGCTTGAAAACACATATACACACAGCCGGATACCAGACCCAGACCCAGAAAGAGCTATTTGACTTCGTTTACAAAGAGGCTTTCCAGTTCCCTGAGGGGAGGCCCAGGCAAGCTCTCCCAGCTTTGCACAGAGTGGACATCTGAGCCCCAAATATTTCAGGATGATGCGTCCTGAGGGCTCTAATTACCCGCTGTGAACACAGATGAAAGGGCTGCATTTCAACTGGCCACAGCAAAAGCACAGCCACTGCTCCCTCTAAACCAAACTCAGCGCGCCCGCAGCCCAACAGTACCCTGCAGATCCCGGATGATCCTCTGGAGCTGGCTCTCCGCGCTGCTGGAAGCCATGGCGGCGGGCCTGGCTGTGCGCCTCCTGCCTGGGTCGGGTCAGCAGAGGTCAGACTCCATGGCGGCGCCTGCAGGGGGAAGGAGGAAGCAGTCACACACACGATGTAAGGACAGGAGTAGGGGAACGCTGCTCTGGGCACATAGTCACTCCATCTGGGCGTCTTCCCTCAAAGGGAAGGGCTTGACCTTTCTGTGTGGGCCTTGCTCTGTGGGCACTCTCTGCTTCTGACATACTTACACTCAGGCACAATGACCTGGTTTGGGGCTTAAAAAGAAATAAGATCAACCAAACAGTTTGGCCTCTTCTTTCTGAGCTCCCCTCCTATTCTGCCCTCTTAGACAGGACTCCCTCACTTTCCATCTTTAAAAAGGCCTTCCAGGGGCTCCCCTCACCCCACCCCCATACCAAAGGCCAGAACTAGTCCAACCCCAATTAGATGGCCTGCCCAGCCTAAGGTGCCAGCTACCACCAGATCCCTGTCACCCACAGGCCAGGCCCCAGGTCCTCCCCAGGCTTGCTTTCTCTGAGGAATGGCCAGAAACCTCTGGCCAGGCAGCCATGGAGGGGCGACAGGCTGAGGACACATACCCTGAGGGCTCCTGGACCAAGGAAAGCCCAGCTTGCCTCGCAGGGGAAGCGGCTCCCTCATGGGGAGGTCTGCAGGCTCCAGCAGCCCAGAGTTGGGCTCAGCCCGGGTACGCAGATACTGCCTGGCTTGCCGTCAGTGGCCAGTCAAGGGACACGTCTCTATTTTAAGCTTGGTTACAGTCTTCTTGTGGCTGGTGAGTCCCGAGTTACCAGCCCCATTTGGGTGCTTGTTGAAATGATTTAAGGGCACAGTACTGGCGGAAGATCAACAAAGATGAGGAGATCTGAGTAGCATTGGAAAAAAGTCTGGACACGCACTTGGACACTCCTGCGTCCTTCTTTCAGAACCTCTAATTCTTCCCTTAAAAGTCTAACACAAAGTGGTAATGCTTGCTGGCAAAGGCAGATAGCAAGACTAGAGGTGGCCATAGTAGCAGCCAGCACTAAATGAGGGCCTACTGTGTGCTGGGCCCTGTTAGGTGCTTTACACATGTGATCATTTTAATTCTCACCATCACCCTAGTGGGGCAGATAACATACAAAGGAGAAACTGGCGACCAGAGAAGTCGTGTAACTTGTCTAAGGTCAGTAAGGAGAAGAACTGGGGTTTGAACCCTGGTCAGTCTGATTTCAAATCCTGTGGATTTACAGTTGGGCCACCATCACTACAGCAGACAACCAACCACCTCCCCTGGCTTCTAGGAAGCCCCCCGGACTCCAGTGTCTCCCAAATAACACGCTGCCACCCTGAGTGTTTCTAACACACGCTGGCCCTCACTCCCCCACCGCCATCTTCCCCTTACTGGTCCAGGAGTCAAGACAAGACCTAGGATAGAAATGGTCCCCAACCTCAAGCTCCTCCACGTATTTACATATGCATTCCAGAGGAGGAGGGCCTGTCACAGGGTGGACATGCCCAGGCCTACTTTTAACTTAACAAGTCAGTGCAGCTTGACTCAGTGAAAACAAGGCCGAAAGACGGCTTCTCCAGCCTAGGAGGAACAACACAGGCACACACCTATACCACACTCCCAGCAATTCAAGACAGGGAGCCCCAGAGAGCAGAGTCAGGGGATCCAGAGAGAACCATCCAAAGCTGCCCGACAAGTCCTGGCACCGCACCCATCATGCACACCAAACTGAGGGCGGGCCTGATTTACAAGAGGCCAGCCTGGCATCCCTGGACATCTCTCCAGGTCACCTGCTGAACACAGAGCCTGAGCAGGGACCAGCAAGGGCCCTAGAGAGAGCAGAGCCCAGGCTCAGCCAGACTTCTGCAGAGGCTCTGCTGCCCGTGCAGACACTTCACCCCTCCCTGCGAGGTGAAGACCAAGGATCATCACTGTCAATGCACAGCTGCCCCGGCACCACACCTTACTCCTTCAAGGGCCTCCTAAGTGCAGGCTGGGGATACAGAGACACACAAGACAGAGTCCAGCCCTGGAGGAGCTCGGCTGTGCGCCAAGGAGACAGAGATATCCAGCGATCCAGATACAGCAGAAGAGGTGATGCAGAGATATGGATAAAAAGTTACGAGTCGGCGGGGAAAAGGAATGAACCACAGATACACCAACAAATGCTTTATGTGGAGTGAAAGCAGCCAGATGGAAAAGGCTACAGGCTACATACTTTACGATTCCATGTGCGTGATACTCTTGCAAAGGCAAAACGCTGGGGTGAAATCAGAACAGTGGTTTGCAGGGGCTGGGGGCGAGGGAGGGTTTGACTACAAGCAAGTATGCAGAAATTCCGGGGGGCAATTCTGTTCTGTGTCTTAATTATGGTGGTGGTTACATGCCTGTATAGATCTGAAAAACACACGTGCTAAAACTCACATACGGTACATTATACCTTACCAAAAAGAGCAGCATTGTGACGAATTTAGAAAGATGCACTGGGACCTGCGGAAAGGAAAACTAATTCTGCTTGGGGAAGGGAGAGTGTGGGAGACACTCTATGATGGCAACTGAGTTGGGCGAGGCCTGAAAAATGAAGAGGAAGTCATTCCAAGGAGGAAAGGTTGCCGGGGTGGAGGGTCTGGCAAACACAAAGGCTGTTTGTCTATCCACATCCCTCTTATGTGACTACGGTCAACAGAGAGCCTTGTAGCTTCTGGGAGAAATAATCTAGGAGGAAGATGACTGATACCCTATGAGTCCTCAAACGAAGCCCACTGGGTCCGTGTGTATACTTCAAACTGGGGTGAGAAGTGCAGGTGGAGAGGGCGGGGCCTGGGAAAGAAGCGGTGACAACAACAGATTCCGAGTTAACTCGTCCAGGCTCTGGCCACGACAACGCATGGACTACACCTCCAGCTGGATTTCCTAGAATCCACCCTCTCTGGAGCCCGGCAGGAGGGAAACAATGTCTGCATACCAAATGGCATCTTGGCAGATGAGCCTGGGCAGACTGAAATGCGCTCCTTCAAGTGTCCCTGTGTCAGCCCAAGCCCAGGAGGCCTTCTCTGCCTGACCCTGGGAGAGCGCTCTGCTGATGTCAAGTTTCCAGGTCACGCACGGGGTGAGCCATGCCCCGCTGCTGGTTACACAAGCTGATTTTCCAAAGAGCCTGTGTCATCATGAAGGTAATGAGCCCTAAGAAAGTAGCTGCTGGGCCTGCAGGTCACAGTGGCTCCCCCACCATGGCTGCGGGACGCCACCTCACAGGGTTTCAGGGAGTAAGTCAGAGCTTCCTTGGAAGAGCGTGGTCACCATAGGGATGCTGTTTTCATGGACTTGGAAAGGACTCAGCATTTTGCCCTCCCTCTTCCTCAGCCTGAGGTCATTATTAACCAACGAAAAACACAGAATGGAGCGCTCTCTCTCTCTCCACACCAATGGTCAACTTCCTTGTGTCTCCAGATAACCTTGCCCTTTGGTTGAAGGATGAGCTATTTTTTACTCACAACACTCTTGACACCAAATGTTTGGCCTTTTTTCCACACCAATAACCAGTTCTGACACCAACTGGTTGCCTTACAATTCAATTCAGTTTATTTTTTAAATTTTTATTTATTTATTTATTTTGCTAGGAAAGATTCGCCCTGAGCTAACATCTGTTGCCAATCTCCCTCTCTGTTTTTTTTTTCCCTTTTCCCTGCCCAAAGTCCCAGTACATGGTTGTATATTCTAGTTGTGAGTCCTTTGAGTTTTTCTATGTGAGCCACCACCACAGCATGGCTACTGACAGATGAGTGGTGTGGTTCCAGGCCTGGAAGCAAACTGGGGCCACTGAAGCGGAGCGCACCACACTTTAACCACTAGGCCATCAGGGCTGGCTCTCAATTCAGTTTTGACACTAAGTATCTGGAGTCAGGGCAGACCCCACAGCTCAGTCCACAAGACAGCCCTGGCTTCAGAGGCTAGTGGCAAGTCCCAGGTTGCTACCTATACTTTTGATGAACCAGCTATGAATTGGAGCTTGCCAGATCCCTTCCTCAGCCGTTCCTACAACAGCTCACAAAACTTGGGGAAATACTTTACTAGTACCAGTTTATTTTAAAGGATATAATTCAAGAACAACCAGATGGAAGGGATGCCTAGAGTCTGTGGAGGTGGGGAAGTGTGTGGGAGCTTCCATGCCCTCAGACTTCCCACACTTTAGCACCTCAGTGTGTTCACCAACCCAGAAGTTCTCAGAACTCCATCTTCAGGGGTTTTTATGGAGGTTTCATTACATAGGCATTAAATCACTGGCCACAGGAGAGTAACTCCATCTTCAGCCCCTATTCTCTCCTCAGAGGTCTCGGGGTGTGGGGCCGAAAGTTCCAACCCCCTAATCACATAGTTGGTTCCTCTGGCAACCAGCCCCGATCCCAAAGCTATGTAGGGAACCACTAGGAGTCCTCTTATTAGCATAAACTCAGGCATGGTTGAAAGGGGTTGCTATGAATAACCAAAGATACACCTATCCCTCAGGAAATTCCAAGGGTTTTAGAAGCTCTGTGCCAGGAACCAGGGACAAAGACCAAATATATATTTCTCATTATGTCACAGGGATTGCAGACTTCTGGCATGAACCAGCCAGATCCTGACCTCTACAACCCGTTAGCAAACTGCTCTCCTAACTCAGGAGACACTCAGAGAGAGATTCTGTCTATACCGCCATGGTTGCTTCAGCACAGGGGCAAGGACTCCAGCACTCCCATACCTCACAAGGCTGCCAAAGTCCCCTCCATGAACCCAGGGTCCTTGTTGCATGCCATGTAAAACCTCCATCACTATCTCTGGCAAGCTCTTTCAAATACCAGAGAAACTCATTTTATAAATCTTTGGGAACACTGGACTCTCTTGCCAACAACTCAAAATTCTGTTTAAGCTTATCCAGAATATCTGAAAACATCCAGCCTTCTGATAAAGAGGAAAAGGGGATTAATGCAGTTTAAAAAATTCTTATTTATTATCTGGGACTCTTGCCTGAGCTCCCAGTCATGGCCTAGGTGTTACTTTAGAGGTAAAGGACCTTTCCTGACCTCCAAATTCCTCCTACACCTGCCCAGATACCCTAAATGCGTTAAACAATAGAGACAGCAGTTTAGTTCCAAATTAAGATACGAAGACACCAACTGACTCAAGTAAACTTAATTACACCATGGTGCAAATGACTAATGTTCACATGTTGCCCAGAAACTGGCTCTGGCAGGAGGAATACAGCGTCTGAGTAGCCACATGAAGAAAGAAGGATCAGATGGGGAGGAGGAAGTTTGGGATGTGGAAGACAACCTTGCCCTGCCCTCAGAATTTTTCATACCTGCTCCCAACACAAGCTAAGAACTGACCCAGAGAGGGCACCATACAGTTGGGCTCCTCCCCCATGCCCCAACAAGATGGAACATACCAGTTGTAAACTCCACCCTAACCAAGGGTGGTTCAGATCAGTCAAAAGCACAAAGCCTTTCTGGAAGAGTCCATTGCCTTGGCCTGTTCCAGCACACCCAATAGCATCTGTCTAGGGACCACCTATGGAATGGGGGGCGCTTGGCTGGTACCTGCAGCTGTGAAGGCCCGGAGGTCCTGCTGGCTCAGGCTGGAATGGTCGGTGGGCAGGCAGACTGCCCTCACCAGAGCTTCAGGAGGGTGCCTAGGAGAGTGCTCAGGAGTTTGTCACAGGCCAACTCATAGGCAGACATTTCAGCACACGTGAGCAAAGCCTCATTAGGGACCCAACCCCTTAGATCTACGATTAAAGTGTTGACCAACGGCATGCCTGGGTCATCTTTTCCCAAACACTCCTTCGTGCTTAAAATCTTCTCTCTTTCTTTTAAGGGAATGGGGACTTGAGACTTTGCCATCACTTCTTGAATCTTCTCTGGGCTCCCTCCCTCCGTCCCACCAACAATTACAGATTTCTTGGTCACTCCACTGGAACACACACAAAGCTGGCCCCAATTCCAACCCACTGCCCCAGGAGAGCAGCGTCAAGAGGGACCTGTGGATGTGAGGTGCTGCGTCTGGGCCTGGCGAAGCTGACTGTCCTTTTTAGGAAGGTGGGCAGTTACTCCTGAGAGGAGCTACACATCCGGACTTGGGGCTGCAGGGCCGAGGTTCTGCCATTGGAAAGCCCAGAGAAAACATCCAAGAGGTGACGAAAGCGCTTCTGAAAATCTGGGCACTCTCTGGAACAGCTGCACAAACAATTGAGAACTCAACTGGTGCATCTACTCCTGCCCCAAACAACATAAACTCCACGCGGGTGGGGAAAATTGCAGAGCTCCAAAATCATCAGTCTAGTCAATGATGCACTACAAACTGGATCGCTGATAGAATATGCTGCAGCCATTAAACATGGCCATGAGGAAGACAACATGTAACTAGCATGTGTTAACAAACTGCCTGCCAGGCAAGAGCACCACTATTAGGAGGCAGGCCTGATTCAGGAGCTGAGGCTACAGCTGTGAACTAGGCCTGTGGGGCCCTGGCCTTCAAGGAACTCACCCTCCAGGGGGGAGAAATAGACAGCATCACTCTAACAAGCTTATAAACAAGAGATCACTTGAGGCCCGAGAGGCACTTGAATGAAAACAGGTGAACACACGAGGCACCAAACTGCGCTCTGTTCATGATTCTAAGCCCCCACCACAGACGGGCTCTCCTTTCTTCCACTTGTGTGGCTGATCACCAGTGCAGTAATTTCTTGTTTAATCTGTCTTTCCCACTTCTCTTTGCTGTTCATTATTTCCCCAGGAGCTGGTGTAGTATTGGCACAGAGAGGGCCCTTAATACATTACTCGTTGAATGAATGAATGAGACAAACCAAGCACATAGAGTCTTGCTCCACAAACCAAGCTAAACTTTAGGCATAGAAATGTACCAACGTGTAAATAATAATTATCCTTCAATAGTGGGAAACATGGGCAAATTTTCAAAAAAGTCTATTTCTTTGATTTTTCAATTTTCCTTTATTGAGCATAAATTACTGTTATGCTGACTCAAATAATGTATTTAAGATCAAGTTGTAATTGAGAACATTATATTATCATCATTGCAGAAATATCATGGAATTACTATTCGGAGAGTAAGTGGAATAATCCATCAGAGATTGGATGGATTAAGGGTGTCTACAGAAGAAAGTGTGCACCACAGCTCCAACCCCCAGGCAGCCTTACCCAGAAGCGTACTCTGCTCCATTCAGGGCAACCTAACCTCTGCCGCTACCACCATCTCCCCACTCACCCAACCTCCCCCAGGCCCTTTCCTTTCTCCATTCCTGGAAGTTTGGATCTGGAACCATCAAACAGGAAAACCGCAAGGGTGGGGAGGCACTGATGGATCTGAGTTCTGCTGTCCTCCCTGGGCTTAAGAGCAGCAACCTGGGTTCAGATGGGGCAGAGGGTGGGGCTATGCTGCAGACAGAAGCGGCAAACGAGACCCAGGATGGCTATGAGCTGGAGTTGGGGCAATGGGTAAGATAACTGTCTTCTCTTTTATCAATTGTAGCTGAGCCCTGCCAATTTGGACTCTACTCAGATTCTGGAATCAGAGTAGTCATGTGAAATTTCCAATGCCTATCAGGCAACAAATAACGCGATAAAGATCATGTCATGATTGAGTGAGACCTATGGCATGTTTGGCTCACCAAAATATTTTCAGGCAATTTTAGCAAATCTATCTGTCCTGGGGAAGTTATTTGACCTCCACCTACCTTGTCTGGTTTATTTTTTAGGTGCAATGTGGGGAGGTTACCCTTTATCTCAACAGCTAACTGTGGCTGAGGCTTCTATGTGCCCCCATGCTGCTCTTGACCGAGGCTGCAGATGCCCTGGAAAAAGCACTGGGGCTACAGGTTCAGCTTGAGGAAATGCCTTCGAGCTCCATGCTAAACCACCTCCTCTGGCTCAGTCGTCCATCCCAGACCTCTTACAGGGATCCTCTCTCGGCCCAGCCCTCTGCACACTAACGGCTTGCTTAGACTGCTTTTTCACTTCAGGTTTTTCTTCTGGATTCCAAGGGTTCCCCTAACTCGGTTTTCTGCCCCAGGCACAGGGTGCAGTACCCCAAGTTCCTGAGGTGGTTGGCCAGAGCCACCCTTGGGCCCCGGAACCAGCCACAGGGCCACAGTACTACAACCAGACCTCAGATTCTCCTTACATCTGTCCTTGGAAGCACAGTGATATACATAGCCTCATCCCTGAAAACAGGATCTGCCCAACTAGAAATAGGTGCTTGGTGTTTTTCACATGCCACAGAGACCTGTGTGAACGGGAAGGACCATCGGTGCTCACTAAACCATCAGGCTGACTGGCTCCAGTGTGAGGAAGAGGGGAAAAACGCCTCCTGCCCAACTAAGCAGGGCTCTGCCATCTCACCTTCTAAAAGCCACGGAGCACAGGTGCTCTGAGGCTGAAGGTCTTATTGTGGGGACAGCACAGTGACACATGCAAAAACAGCAAGCACAGAGACCCATGGAAACATTTCAGTACCCACCCTACCGATTTATTTAGTTGTTCAAACAGAGGCTCTTATACCAATCAACAGCTAAAAAAAAAAAAAACAAAAAAAAAACTGGCATTGAGATCACAAATAGGAAATACTGTTTATCTTTTGAGCATGACAATGACATTCCAGCCAGTAGGTGAGCAGATGTTGCCAAGGCCAAACTCGGCTCATCTCTGCTCACAGGCGGCCTCCGGTGGGTTACAGGCCACCATTAATGAACCTTACCTGCTCTGTTGCCTGGGGCTGCTCCAGCGAATGTGGCTCCAAACTCTGTGTTCCTATCAGTGATTTTCACCATGAGACCACAGCTAGACAACACACTTCCTCTGCCTCAGGTTTAAAGATATTCTAGTCTTGAGTCACCAAAATTGTCCTTGGAATTATCAGAAAACACAGGTTACACACCAGCCGAGCCTCTCTCCTAAAGGGAAGAGGGGGGCTGCCTATTCTATTGAGTGCCTATTCTGTGTCCTTGCAGGCAGCAGCTCATGGCCTCGGTGACCAACATGGGTCAAAGCTACCAGCTGCTCTGATCTTGTTCTGTTCTGGGTGGTTCCTCTCATCACAAACATCTGTGGGGTCATCCAGCCATGAAAGGACCAGGCTAAAAGCATGGCTCCTGAATCCATGCGGGTGCCCCAAACCAGCCACAAGGAGCAAAGACCATCTAAGAAGCAGTCAGAAGATCGACTCCAACGTGATTCCAAAAATAATTGAAGTAAAACATTAGTTGCAGAATCTAACAGGTGGGGATATGTTCACTATACAATTCTTTCAATGATTCTGCATATTTAACTATTTTCCTAACAAAATGTTGAAAACAGTTTAAAAACTAAATGAAGCACTACACAAAGATGAACACTTTTAATAGAAGCAGAAAATCTGTTTCCTAAAGCAAAAGCTTTTTCAGATCCTTTTAATCAAAGACGGCTATGCCCCATCACTGAGACAATTCACTCTGATTTCCAGGGTGAAGATAACAACGGCTCACAACTGGTACAGGGTGTTCAATAATTTATGGACAGTGGTTGTCACAGAATGGAGGGTCAAGTGGAGCCCACTCAACATGGGCCCACTTCAGAAGGTGGGAGCCACTGAAAGCAGAAGATCTCAGAAAGCAGAAAACCTCAGTGTGACAGCTCTTCCCTGGCTGCAACAGCCCGCAGCCCCACGAGGCAGCTGGTAGGGGAGTTAAGCTTGCTACAGAGGACACCACAGGGCTCTCAGCAGCAGGAGGGCAGCGAGCAGATTAAGGCCTGATCGTCTGCCCTCAAAGAGCCCCTGACCCATTTCTCTGCCGGGAAAGGAAACTGCTGTGGTAAGACAAGCGGAGGGGCAGAGGGCTTGTGGCCAAAACAGACAGTTTCAAAAAGTACTCTATTTTTTTCTGGAGGGGGCAGCCAATGGGAACTGTGAAGAGAGGTAAGAGGCATCAGAGAACAGGTGGATTAACAGGGAGCCACGTGGTTAATGTGTCAACCACACGTGCTTTTCTTACATAAAAAATAAAATTCAGCCCTCTCCTTGTATCCCCTAGCCTAGGTTCCGAACAGCGTGGACTCTAGCCCAAGTCCAGTGCGGCCACACTAGAGATAATCCACAAATCCACAGGTGTTTCAGGAAAGATCACCTGGAGGCTATCTCAAGACCCTGAACCTGGGCACAAGGGGCAGTAGGTACAGAGAATGGCCGTGACCTGAGAACGGCCCGGGAAGAAAAACCGTCCCCTTATGGGAGGGGAGGAAAGAGAGAGGCATCAGTGGACTCTCGCCAAGTGAAGGTCTGGGCTGTCCCGGCCCAGCTGAGCCAGGAATTACGCTTCGTAAGGTCAGCGGCCTCTCGGACAATTCAAGCAGAAACTCAGGGACTTGTCCTCCTGAGCCCAAATAGTCCCAGACCTGTTCTGAGAGCCCGACATGATGGGCTCCTTTGCGGCCCCTCGGCCGTCGGGGGTCTTGGAACTGGTGTTTGGGGGTCTGTCTTTCTAACTGATCGCCAGAGGCAGCCTGGGTTCCAAGGTCAGCTTCACCGGCCCGACGCGCTTCCCGGGCCCACCGGGCAAGGGCCAGGAGCTCGGGCGGGGTCTTTGGGAGACCCGGGATGGGCGGGGACTGAAACGGCAACAGGTGACGAGCCGCGCCCGGAGGGAAGTTCTCTGCTCCGGGGCCACAGCGACAGAGGCGCCCCCAAAGCCTGGCCGGCTCCCCAGCGGCACTTACGCGCTTGTGGATCCACGTCTGGGCTGAACCGAAACTTTCTGGGGCCAAGCGGAAGAGTAGTGGAGTGCGGCGTGGGCGGCCATGACACGCAGCCCCACCGCAGGCAGACGCGGACTACAACTCCCGGCACGCTCCACGAGGCCGAGGCCTACAACTCCCATCAGACCCCACAGGCAGATGGGCACCGACAAAGACACCCGGCAAGTTAGCGTGTCCCGCAGAGCTGAGGTTTACAACTGCGCCCGGTTATGCCCGGGAGCCGGCCCTAGGTTAACCGTTGCCGTCCCGGCGGGCATGGGTCAACAGATCATCGCTCTGCGATCTCGAGAGCGGCACTGTCCATGTGTGGCTTTTGAGAACTTGAAATGTGTCTAGTTTGAGTTGATTGTGCGTGTGCTGTAACGGAAAAATACACCTGAATTCCAAAGACTTGGTATGAAAAAAGAATGTAAAATAGCTCATTAATATTTTTACGATGATTATATATTGAAATAATATTTTTGATATATTGGACTACATAAGAAACATTATATATCTCTGGGCCTAATGTCCCATCTTTTGATCCCCGTCACGTTTTAACAGAGGGACCTACTTAAAATCAGTGCTCAAAACTACCAACCCACTTTCAGCTCAATTTCTAAGTTGTATTTTCTGTTTATCAGTTGCAAAGCACTCTGAGGCTGGACTCAATAGAACAAAATGCATTCATTAATAATGTCTACTATGGCACAAGAAGAGCAAGAGTACAGGACGTATGGCAGCCTGTGACTATGCTCCATTCCTTACCTCTGGCCGCAGCATCCTTTACACTCTGCCCTTGTTCCCACAATTTAAGCCAGAAACACCTTTCTACCTCACAGGACTTAGCTAGTGGTGTCCAGTCAGGAGCCATGACCCCAACATTACAAATGGAGAACGAGGGTAGTTGTCTGGGTAAAATAACACAAGAAAGGAAATAGATTTCTAGTTAAGTTTAGGCTATGGCATCTCATTAGCTATCTGTTATGGTTTAGGTGTAGATAAGACAGTGAACCAGATGGATGGAATAGTCAGTTTGCAGGGTTGGGAAGAAGTGGTTTCCATCTTCCTGTTAAAAACTATGAAAGGAAAAGGGAAGAGGGGGAAGGAGACGGCAATGGGAAATCATTGCTCCAACCACACTCTCAACAGTTTTATGGAATATTAAGGATGGCAGAGATTTTAATCTGGTCCAACACGCTTGTCTGAAACTGGGACCCAAAAGGAATTTGGAGAGAAGAGGAAGGCAAACCTAACGCTGATTGAGGACCTATGATATGCCAGACCCTAACCAAAAAAACCATACAATATTATATTTAAAACTCACAGCAACTCTGAGATGTAGGTAGGGTTAATTATCCCTACTTTATAGTTGAGCAGAATGAGGCTCAGAGAAGTTAAGTAATTGTCCAAGTTCACATGGCTGGTACACGGTAGAGGGAGAGTAGGACCGGGGACTCTTGAGGAGTCCTCTGTCCACCCAAGACACGGTCACAGGGAAGGAAGTTTAAAAATCACTACTATTTAGCAGTTTAACCTGGATTTTCTTTGTAGACAAAGCTGAGTATGTCAAACTATACTTGTCCAAACAAACAAACTCAGCATATTCTTGGTTCTGATGTGAATACACATTAGGTAAAGAGATCAGATTTTAAATCACCAAAATCCTGCTTCTCTTTCTCCTTAGAATCTTCATAAGCAGCAGGAGAGGAGTATGTTCCTCACAGGAAGCTGACCATGTCCACAGCCCCACTGAGGCTCTCGGTGAAATTGTCCCCATTCTTCCAGGGCTTTGTATGTGCCAGGCACCAAGTTAAGTGTGTCCCACACATGGTTTAATTTTATCCTCATATCAGCCTCATGACACATAATCATCCTCATTAAGCAGATGAGAAAACTGAGATTTAGGGAGGTTAAGTCCGTCACCCAGGGTCAAGAGCTAATAATGGTAGAGACAGATTTTTCAGCCCAGTTCTATCTGATTACAGAATTTAAGCCCTTATACGCTGTATTGGCAGCTCCTCATGTGAGGCAGCCGTGTTCTCTACCCAGGAACCCACCATCTTGGTCTCTAACTCAGCAGGCCAGGAGTGGATGCCATACATGCCAGTGGTCTGATGTGGCAGCTCAGCTCAAGAGAGGCAGCCTCTTCTTGATCATCACTAGTCAAATCAGTCTTATCTTCTGGAAAACTTGAGTGTAAGACCCACAGAAGGAGTCAAAGTTGATTGCAGAATCAGCAGCGTCAGGTTCATTGAGTTCTCCTTCCCTAGAGAACACTGCTTTTCTGTAATCGCCTGTGGACGATGCAGAAGAATCTGGACTTCAGTGCTTGGTTTGAATTTTGACATGTAAATTTCCAGATTTTTTTCTCCATGACTGTGCTATTGACTTTTCTCCTCAACACACTCCCCCAACTGAAAACGTCTGAGTACTTAAAATAAGCACTTGATGATATGGATTTGGACTTTTCCAGTTTTGAATTATAATCACAGAAAATAGTATTTCCCACGGAATAAGGTAACCAAACTTCCTGATTCACCCAGGAGAGCCCTGTTATCCCAGCATGAATATAAAGAGCACCCCCTTTCACTATCCGTGGTGTCCCAATTTGGTGATAACTTATGTAGCCACCCCCTTCATAAAACAGTTTCCTGGGATGCTCAAGGGTGTTTCATGAAACACATAGGGCTCTGTGGTCGAATACATTTTGAAAATACAGGGTAAAACACAGACAAAGTCCTATACTACAGGACTTCTGGGAGCCTCTTAATATTTAAAACTGAGCGCCTGGCAGAAGCCTAGGAAGGAATTGCAGCTGGAGATCTGTCATTTCACAGTTGTGAGCAGATCATCAATCTTGTAAGGGATAGGTACTCCAATTCACCTTTGGGCAAAATCTTTCCTTTTTTGGGAAAAACCGTGTAAACGTGCCTTTTAGTGTCCCTCTCACCCCACCCCCTACCTGCATTTTAGACTTACAGACTAACAGAGTTGTTTGGTAATGCAAAAGTTGTACTTGGTCAAATCACAGCTATTCATTCATTCATTCAACGAATAGTTATTGAGCTATGACTACACGCCAGGTTCTAGCTCAGGGGTCAACAAAATTTTTCTATAAAAGGCCAACAGTAGTTATTTTAGACATTATGAGCCATACAGTCTCAATTACAACAGCTCAACTCTGCCATTATGGTGCAAAAGCAGCCATAGCCAATACAAAATAAATGAGCATAGCTGTGTTCCAATAAAACTTTATTTGCAAAAACAAGCAGTAGGCCAGATGTAACCTGCTGGGAGGTAGTTTCCTGATCTCTGGTCTAGATGGCTGGACTTCAGCAATGTA